ACAGCTTGAGCATCTTCGAGGGATACTTGCTTCGCATGTTGTTGTGGATCGTGGACACCGATTCTCGTCTGGGCTTGCGGAGGTTGCCTTTTGGCTCCAGCCTGTTCGCCCTGGTGGTGCCGTTGTCCTTCCTAGGCCTCCTGGTCACCCTGATCATCGACCCGACCTTCCTGACGACAACGATGATGATCCTGAATCTAGCCCTGGCGGCCGTCGAGCTCCACGGTCTACTCACCGCCCACTTGATCCGTGGCACCTCAGTGACGGTGACCCCTGGTCTTCCAGCAAGCGGCCGAAGCATCATGGTTGTGCTCTGCCTCTGGTTCCTGGCTTCCCGGCACTTGCTGGAGCTCTCGCTAATGGTCCTTTCATCGACATGGGCGTGCGCCGTGAGTGTCGTCCTGGTCCTGCTGCTGCCCAGGCGGCTCTGCCAGAATTCCCTCGATTTGGCCGAACTCCCATGGTATCGCAGAGACTTCGCCCTGTCGCCGTGTCTCGGAAGAGCGTCGTTCCCTGTTTGTGGAAAGTCTGGTGGTGTGGGGCGCCTTGGCTGCTGAAGCCCGTCTCCTCCGAGCCTGGCTTCTTCATCGTTCTTGCCCATGTGTTCTCGCTGCTGAGCGGCGGTGACCCAAGATGTCGCGTGTAGAGCTAGTGCAGCAGATGCGTCAGATGCCTGGCTGCGTGGACCACCTTGAATTTCACACTTCTCTTTTTCAGATGCACATTAAATACTAATAACTCTGTTGTGCAGCAAAACGTTCAGACGACTGGTTCCATTATCGCTGAACTTGGTGCCTCTTCGTCTTAGACCGCATTGAAGATGTGGTTGCGTTTCCTGTCGTTCTGCCTCTTTCGTCTTGTCTCGTCTTTCTGTCGCCTCCCCTTCTCTTTTTATCGTCCCCTGGCGTTGTCGTTTCTGCGCTTTTGGGTTGTCGTGTCGTCCCTCTCGGCTCTGCCGTCTTCTTCTTTCTCTTCCCCTTGCCGTCCTCTGTGGGCCGTCCCCGTGGGGGGGGGAGGGGAGGGGGGGGGGGGCGTGCGCTCTCCAAGACCCCTCCTGGGTCTCGGACGGCGTTTGCTCCTGTCGGTGCCTTCTGATGGCGTGCGTTGCGGCAGCAGTGCTGACACGAACGCGGAACAGGCGAGAGAAGCTGAACAAGTAGCGAGGGAGGGTTTTGTTGTGTCCTTCTCTTTCTTGTTTTTAAGAAAACAAACCTCAGCGCCACTCTCATCGTCATCGTCATCGTCATCGTCATCGTCATCATCATCATCATCATCATCATCATCATCATCATCATCATCATCATCATCATCATAATCATCATCATCATCATCATCATCATCCTCATCCTCATCAGCATCCTCCTCCTCATCATCCTCATCCTCATCATCATCATCATCGTTATCATCATCATAATCGTCGTCGCCGCCGTCGTCATCGCCACCATCAGCATCATCATCAGCATCAGCACCATCAGCACCATCATCATCAGCATCAGCATCGTCGTCGTCATCATCGTAATCATCACCACCATCATTACCATCAACAACATCATCATCATCATCATCGCCATCATCACCACCATGATCATCATCACCATCATCAACATCATCAACAGCATCATCATCGTCGTCGCCATCATCATCGTCAGCGTCAGCGTCATCGCCATCGTCATCGGCATCGCCGCTCACGAGGAGACCCCCATACCTTCCCTGGAGGCTGCCCCCCTTCGCGCCGCCCCATGGCGTGCGCCCGCCGCCAAGGAACGCGGGCGACAAGGAGCCGACCGCTCGCCTGTACATGGACCTCTTCGCGAGGCCGAGCGAGAAGAGGGCGGGCGGGTGGCAGATGTCGCTGCAGGACTCGGTCGTGGTTGTGGTCGTCGTCGTGGCTCGGCCGTCTCGTAGTCGTCGTGACGCGTCGTGGTCGTGACTCGAGATCGCTACAGGACGCGGTCGTCGTCGTGACTCGTCGTGGTCGTGGCTCGGCCGAAACGGTGTTTGGGCGATATCGTGGACCGTGTTCGTTTCGATCTCGTTGTGCAGCAGAGGCGGGACGAAGGCAAGGCGAGGAGAAACGAAACCAGCACGAAAACAGGAAACAGCATTTAGGTCGAGCCCTGCTGCAGGACTACGACGCCGCGCGCGGCAAGAAACCCGTCTCCGTCATCGTCACCAGCTTTCGGCCGCCCGTCGGCGACAAGCCAGCCCTCCTCAGCTTCGGGGAGGTCCTCGCCATGAGGGAAAGGGGGTCCTGAGGAAGAGGGGGCCTCCCGGATGTTCGCCAGGCTCGGCCTCCCGGGGCTCTTCCTTGGCCCCAGGGCCGTACATGCAGCGGCTGAGGATGACGGGCGGCCCCCTGGGAAATCTGATGGGTCCAGGGCCCGTCTTCCTCAGGACTTCTGTCCCTCATGCCAAGGTTCACACCCTCTTCCACGAGTTCGGGCATGCCACCCAGTCCATGCTGACCACGCAAGAAGAGCCAGCGTTTGCCGGCATCAGCGGGGTGGAGTGGGACGCCGTGGAGCTGCCGTCGCAGTTCATGGAGTATTGGCTCGACGAGGCGGACTGGGTCGTGAAGAGCTTCGCGAAGCACTACAAGACAGGCGAGGCGATGCCCGAGAAGAAGTTCAACATGCTCAAAGCCGCCATGAAGCACCACCCCGGCATGGGCATGCTGGGCCAGCTGCACATGTCCATGGTGGACCTCAACCTGCACAGCGTGCCGCTGGGGCCCAACGAGACGGCCACCAGCCGGGAGGACGCCTTCTCGAAGCAGCACCACACCAAGCTGATGGAGTCTCTGCCGCAGGCCCGCGCCATGAACAGCTTCTCCCACATCTTTGCCGGCGGCTACGCTGCAGGCTACTACTCGTACAAGTGGGCGGACGTGCTCTCCGCAGACGCCTTCTCTCGGTATCTTCTAACCGATCCCCATTCCCATCCCCATCCCCTTCGAGACCCGCACCAAGGTACCACCCCAGTTGGGGATACACCCCTCGAAACCCGAAGGGAACGACCTATATCCCCATCTCGGGGGGTAAGTCGGCCAGGGGGGTCCAGGCCACGCCGCTGGAGATGGGGATCGGTTACACGATACTCACTCTCCAGGTTCCAGGAGGAGGGCGGCGCGTGCGGGGACCTCTGCTCCGCGAAGATGGCGCACATCGGCAGGGAGTGGGCGAAGACCGTCCTCGGCGAGGGCGGCGGCCGCAAGGCGCTGGACGTGTTCAAGAGCTTCCGCGGGCGGGAGCCGTCCGCCAAGGCGCTGCTGCGCTTCAACTTCGGGGAGTGAGGCGGCCAGTGTGCCCGCTCCTCCTCGTTCTGTCCTCCCTGTTCCCTCCGCGTGCGCGTGCCAGGCTGCGTCGCTGAGTCTCCGGCCCTGCTGCTGCGCCTTGCAAACGCAATCTCCCCTCCCTCCATGTAGGTAGCCGTCTCTTGGGTCGTGTCGGAGGCCTCTTGGGCTATTCGGCCCCTCGTGACCTTAGCTGCCCTGATACGCCCGTTTTGAAAATCAAGACGCACCGTGTTCAAAACGTCCGTGCTAACGCGCTGCGTGTTGGTTGGGCACGTGTTGGCCCACGCGTCGGCGAACGTGTCGCGCCAAACGTACGCTTTCAGTCTACGTGTTGAGCTCCGCATTAACGCGCTACGGGTTGCGTGTTGCGCATCGGGGCGGCTGAGCCCGTGATCTTTCTCGGCCGTCTGGGTGGCGCATGGCGGGGCCGGCCTGGGCTCGTCGCAGGACCTGGCGGGGACGGCCGGATTTCCAGGAGGCCCTGGCGGACGACGAGCACGGGCGTGGAAAGCCGGGAAGGCCGAGGAAGCCGTGAGAGCACAGAAGGGAATTCTCCTGCCCAGAAGCATGCGTTACGTACATAACTCCAGATTTCGTACCAAAAGGGATGGGGACACAGCCCTCCCAGACGAGCAGTTTTAGCCCCCCCCCAGACCAGCCACGAAAGGGCGGCCTTTGCCCAGACCCTCTGGAACCCGACAGCTCAAACCAGACCCCCTCCCGAATCAGACCCCCCTTTTATTGCGAATTCCTGAGTAGACATCCGCAATACACGTTCCCATGGATCCTCCATTTCTCGAACCCAGCTGAGTCGTGGCAGAGATTGTTCGTTGCCGATGTGACAGCCCGACCGATTCCCCTCCTGGTCAGGGTCCTCGTCCCAAGGATCCGGACCGCAGATTGCCGATCGCCGTGCCTGATCGATTCCACACCTTACCGGGGCCAGATCAGTAAGAAGTGTCCGCTTCGGGTGCCCACTTACCATCAAGATATCAGGGGCGCGCTCGAGAGCCGCTCAAGAGCCTACATGGGACATTTCTTCATCATCAGCGGGAGTCTGAAACTTGAGTCATACCTATGTAGTATTCATCGGGCAGGTTGGAAGCGGTCACCACCATGACTGGTACCACTGCCACCACAACGCATCTACATATACAAGGGTGCTTCTCTTACCACCTTCAGTAGGAACTATACATGAATCCTTCATGCCACCTTGCAGTAGGGACTACAGTTAATTGAGGGAGATGCTGACGCCCACAAACTCCCGCACCAGTGGCCCCAGCCTCAGCAATTATCATGGTGTTGGCCTTCATCCCCAAGGCTTGGCGTCGAGTAGCGGGTACCAGATTGCAACAAGGAGGAAGTGTGTATTGAGCACAGGGTTGTGAGTGACAGGTTGTAGATGATGTGTGTAGTAGGCAGTGGGTCGCATGTAACGTGTAGTGGAGATAATGTCGCCAGTGGTAGGTTGCCGCAGGCGGCATGGAGAAATAGTGGCTTGTAGGTTGTAGGTAGTGGTCGCAGATACCCGGCATGCTATAGACCTAACATGTTGCTTTGCTGGGGTAGCAAGCACCAGATAGCAGACTACAGGTCGTATGGGGGCTAGATCGTAAGTTGCATGTGGCAGGTTAGTAGGCAGCACGATGCTGGTCGCAGCAGTTTTAGCCATGGCAAGCATTGATTTGTGTGCTGAAGGAGGCAGAGGAACATTTGTTTGAGGGAGGGGGGAAAGGATGAGACAGAAAGTCCTCGTCACGAGGCGTTTCAGTTTTTTGTTTCGGAAGCAGAGACAGTGAGCTCTCAGACGCCGCTTGACATTGCTTCGGACAACTCACACCCCAAACGAGCGGTGATCGTTCGAGCGAACTCTCACTCACCAATGAAGTAGCTAGCGTGGCCCACTGACTTTTGGCCGCACATCGCCAGCATAGCGAAAGCCATCACGCTCCGCGGCCGACTTCGTGCAGAGAGAGAGAGAGAGAAATAGAGGAGCAACAAAAGAGAAAGCGTACATAATCCACTGGAGTATGTTCAGCTAGAAGGCCATATATTGAATCGCTTCGCTCATTCCGCCGGCCCGTGATATGGCATCGCTGGTTTTTGTCTGTGTGTTCGTTGCCCATGTTGCGCTCTTGGGGGCGGGTGTCGTTCGGACGCGTTGCGTGGGGAGTTTTGATGGTGAAGCAGTTCCCTGGGGGTCGTCTCTCGATGGGGCGAAATAGAGTCGTCGTCAAGATGCTTCTTTGGGGGGCCTCTTGGGGTCTGTTGAGAGGCCGTTCGGGGGCGCCTGGGAGACATGTTTGAAGCCTTCTGGGGCTTCTTTTGGGCCTCCTGGGAGTCTCCTGGGGCCTCTTGGCGACATCTTGGGGCCTCTTGGAGGCCTCTTGGGGCCTCTTTGGGACCTCCTGGGCGCCTTCTGGGACGGAGGGCTCCATTTTTGAGTTCTCGGTATCCCTCCTGAGTCCCTCTTGGGCCCGTCTTGGGGCCTCTTGGTCCGTCTTGGGCGGCACTTGGGCCGTCTTGAGGGCTCTCTTGGGTCGTTTCGGCGCCGTCTTGGGAGCTTCGTGGGCCGTCTTGGAGCGGTCTTGGGGGCCTCTTGGGCCGTCTTGGAGCGTCCGGAAGCCGAAAAAGCCAGAACACAAAAAACATCGAAAAAACAAATGAAAATCAACGATTTTGGCCTCTTGGGGCTCTCTTCGGAGGCCTCTTGGAAGGCTCTTGGGGCGTCTTGGAGGCCTCTTGGGCTGTCTTGGGGGCCTTTTGGGCCGTCTTGGGGTCATCTTCGGCGTCTTCGAGCGCTCTTTGGGCGTCTCGGGGGCCTCTTGGGCAGTCTTGGGGGCCTCTTGGGGCACTCTGAGCGCGCTCTGGGGAGCCTGAGAGGCCGCACCCAGAAGGAAAACCATCTCTGAGTGGACTTGGTCGGGCGGCGGTCGGGCGGCGACCGGACGGCGACCGGGCGTTGGTCGGGGTACTTTTCGCCGGGGGACCCCCAGGGGCCGCCCCGCGCGCGCGAACTAGAAATACTGTTAATATTGTTAACCAGTTACCGGAGATCTTAGCACGCCCTGGCCCGTTGGGCCGGCGAATTTCCCATGACCTCCCACATGTTTCGCCAGCTACATCCGGCAAGCCCTGCCACAGCGCCAGCGTAGCATTGCAGCACGGGGGAGGTTGACTTGAATACCCGCCAGTTGAGTTCAGCGCCCTGTCTGGACCGGCGCAGGTCTCAGACACCCTCTCCTTGTTCGCCCAAGCCTTTGCAAACGAGGCGTTAGCAAACGGGGCGGTAGCTAAGGGGCCTCTTCAAGCGAGAAAGGGGTGACAGGGCATTTACCTCGCACTAGTGCGTGATAAATCGGGACGACAAAAACGCCGATACATCGTCATAACTCCGGGTGGGGGAATTTGCCTCGCATTTGTGCGCGGCAAATCAATTTTTTTGAGAAAACCATTGAAAACACACCCTTAGCTACCGGCCCGATTACTAACGTCCCATTTGCAGAGGCTTGGTTCGCAGCCTCGCTATCCTCCTCATTCCTCCTTGCCCCTCCTCTTCCTCCGCCCGCATGTCCCTCCTATCGAGGGCGTCGTGGAGGTATCTTGAGGGCGCATTTCGGGCCTCTCGGGGACCTCTTGGGGGCCTCTTAAGTCTCGGGCATGTCCTTGGGCGCGATGTTGCTTCCGAACTTTCTGACGGGGCTCGATTGAGCAATCGTAGAGAAGTGAGCGAGTCCCGAGGCATTAGTGCCGTCTTGGGGGATTATCTGGCAGTTCGAGAGGCCTCTCAAGACCCTGTTGGGCCCATCTTGGAGGCCTCTGGTGGCTTTCTGAAGCTTTCCCCAGGCGATCTGAAGCAGAGAAGCTTCAGAAGTAAAAACACAACGATACCAGAGAAAAGCGCCATTCATCATCTTTTCAGGGCTATAAGGCTATAGGGCAATATGGCAACAGGGCTATAGGGCTCTTGGGCTCTTGGGCTATAGGGCTATAGGGCTATAGGGCTATAAGGCTGTAGGACTATAGGGCTATAGGGCTACCAGGCACCCGGACACCCGGGCACCCGGGCACCCGGGCACCCGGGCACCACTGGGCACCTCCGGGCACCCCCAGGCACCTCCGGGCACCAGGGCCGGCCACCGAAATCGGCAACGTAGGTCACCTACGCAAATGAATCAGCCAGGACCCCTACAGAGGCAAGCTCGGATTGGGGAATTTGACCGTCGGCTTCTCAATGTGGTTGGTCTCCCAGGGTCTCGCTGGATGCCTTTTTGGGCGTCTCCTGGGGGCTTCTTGGAGGCTAGCGAGGCCTATCGGACCATCTTGGAGTCTATTCGGGGTCGCTGGTAAACTACAGAAATCCGACCAGGCAGAATACAGTGTTCTAACACTCCTCGATCGTGCAAGCACGGTGGCTGACACGCTACGGAGGATGGTCCGCAAGCGAGCTGCGGGCACGAGAGCAGAACGGCAGCAGTAGTCAGGCACATCGGTCTGGAAGCGTGCCGGCGAGCAGCGCTCCGGGCCCCAGAAACGGGGACAGCGCAAACAGGGACATTGCCAGATCCAGCGGCACAACAGAGAGTACAGCCAAGACGCTGAAGGAAGGAGCAGTTCTGGTTTGGAAGGGGCTCACTGTTCCTTTGGTCCTTTCACGGCTGTTCCTCTAGCCTTCCTTGTGCACCCAAGTTCTTCTGGTGCCAAAAGGGGCTTCCTTCCTAATTGGGAAGGCCTTACGGCCAGTGCCGCCGACCCTGAAGCTGGACGCCGACGACGACGACGACGACGACGACGACGACGACGACGACGACGACGACGACGACGACGACGACGACGATGACGACGACGACGACGACGACGACGACGACTACGACGACGACGACGACGACGACACTGACGCTCTGGAGCCTTTCTTGGGGCTCTCTTGGGAGCTTTTTGGGCCGCTCTCGTGCACCCAGGCTCTTCTGGTGCCAAGAGGGGGCTTTTCGTTCTTTCATGTGGTGTGCTTTACAGCAGCAACCCCGCCAGTGGATAGTGACTCGACCCGCGCCCACATTTCTGTCCAGGGGTGGAGGAGGAGGCGCAGGAGGAGGATGAGGAGGAGGAGGAGGAGGCGGAGGAGGAGGAGCAGGAGGAGGAGCAGGAGCAGAAGGAGGAGGAGGAGGAGGAGGAGGAGGAGGAGGAGGAGGAGGAGGAGGATGAGGCTTGAGGCTTGAGGCTAAACGGAAGCGCGCCGATTCGAGCCGACGAGCCCCGCCCGCGCGCCGAGCGCGCGCACGGGGGCCCTGCGCCGCCAGCGCGCCAGGGCCCCCGACCGTGAAGTCCCAGTCCAGCGCGTCGCCGAACTTCACCACGAACGGCGGCCTGCGGCGGCCGTGGCCTCGGGCGGCATCTCCGCCGGCGGCCGACGGCGGCCCAGCCGCCCGTTCTTGTCCAGGAAGTAGTTGTCCCGGAACCGTGCCGTCCTGAAGAAGTCGCCAACCCGCTCGATGTCGAAGCCCGCGGCCTCGACGCTCCTGACGACCTCCTCCATCTTCATGCCGTCCCGAAAGAACGAGTTGAAGAGCACCGCCGCCTCCGAGTCGCCGCAATCGCCGCCGTCGGCGTGCACGGCGCCGATGCCCTTCAGGTTGGCCTCGCTGATCTTCTCGCACTCCTCCAGCTCCTCCTGCGCCACGCTCTGTTCCAGCACGTCCATGGTGCCGAGCTTGCAGGCGTGGCGCTTCTGCATGTTGGTGTCCAGGGCCGCGTCGCCGCCCTCGGAGCCGACCTCGCCTCCCGCGCAGATGCCCAACGAGCCGCAGGAGACAACCTTGGCCAACTGTTGCGCCTCGGCGCAGTGGTCGACGAACCCGCCGTCGCCGACCTCACCCAGCTCGCTCTCCAGCTCGTCCAACTGTTGTGCCTCGGCGCAAAGGTCGACGAACCCGCCGTCGCCGACCGTCCCCCCCTCGCTCACCAGCTCGCCGAAACGCTCGCCGAAGTCCTGGTACGTCCCGTCCTCGTCCTCCTCGGTCAGGGCCTCGAGCACAGCGTCCACCTCCCCGCAGCACCACGGGAGGTAGGTGTCCAGCGCGGCGAGCCGCCAGCCAGCGGCCAGGCCGTCGCCGAACGCGCGCGTAGCCCGCTGGTCCTGCACGCCCACGCGCAAGTGCGACACGTCGTCGACCACGCCCTGCGGGTGCACGGCCGTGCGAGCGAACAGCTCCTGCTCGAGGGACGCCACCTCCAGGCCTTTCGGGAGCTCGGGTAAGGTGGGGGCCTCCTCCGGGTGCCCGCCGAGGCGCGGGCCGAGCTCGGCGAGCCGCCAAGCCGACAGCGGCGCCCCGTCCCCAGGGAGGATGGAGGCGTGCTGCGCGCAATTGCGCACCAGCACCTCTCCTGGCCTGGCCTTGGCCCCGATGAGCCCCGCGACCAAGGCTGGGCGGGAGAGCCGCTCCCGCCTCGCGATCTCGTCGCCGAGGGTGCCGAGGGCTGCGCCGATCCAGGGCCCCGCAGGGCGGCCCAACGCCCACCAGAGACCGCGCTCCAGGGCCTCGCGCCCGCGCCGCCTGGCGGCCCGCCTGGCAGCTGAAGCGCCGAGCTGAGCTTCTTCATCGTGTCGTAGTCGTCGCCGAACTGCGGGCCGCTCGCCTGCCAGCGGTGGCCCCCCGCAGCCATTCATGCCGTGCTCTCGCCCCGCGCCCGTCGAACCAACGGCAATGGGGCCTGGCACCAGGCATGAGCCAAAATGGCTACGGAGGGAGGAGGAGGAGGAGGAGGAGGAGGAGGAGGACGAGGACGAGGACGAGACGAGGACGAGGACGAGGACGAGGAGGAGGGAGGAGGAGGAGCAGGAGCAGGAGCAGGAGCAGGAGCAGGGGCAGGAGCAGGAGGAGGAGGAGGAGGAGGAGGAGGAGGAGGAGGAGGAGGAGGAGGAGGAGGAGGAGGAGGGAGGAGGAGGAGGAGGAGGAGAAGGAGGGAGGAGGAGGAGGAGGAGGAGGAGGAGGAGGAGGAGGAGGGGGAGGGGGAGGAGGAGGAGGAGGAGGGGGAGGGGAGGAGGAGGAGGAGGGAGGAGGAGGAGGAGAAGGAGGAGGAGGAGGTGGAGGAGGACCAAGAACAAGAAGGCGACGACAAGGGACACGGCGGCGGTGCGCCCTCACCGTCGCAGCCGGGCCCTCCTCTCCAGGCGGACGCTTCTGGCGAGGGAAGAGGCGCTTGGCCTGGACGACGTCGAAACCCTTGGCTCCCTGCAGGGGAAGGGGGAGAGAGGGCAAGGAAGGAGACGAAGAGGAGGAGGGGGAGGAGGAGGAGGAGGAGGAGGAGGAGGAGGAGGAGGAGGAGGAGGAGGAGAAGGACGAGAGGAGGAGGAGGAGGAGGAGGAGGAGGAGGAGGAAGAGGAAGAGGAAGAGGAGGAAGAAGGCAGCATGAGGGCAGGGGGAGGGGGGGAGGAAAAGGGAGAGGGAGTGGGATGGGGGAGGAGGAGGGGGAGGGGGAGAGGGAGGTGGAGGGGGAGGGGGAGGGGATGGGGGACAAGCTAGGTGCGCTCGCGTCATATCTGACATCCTACCCCTCCCTCCCATCCCTTACCACGGCGCAGATCCCCTCTCTACTCGCACAGTCGGATGTCGAGCAGGGCAATGATCCCGAAAGGGTACGTGATGCATAATAGAGCACGGCGTGGCATGGCGTTGAAGAGCACCGCAAAGCGTAGTTTCAACCTAGCATTGCATTGCATGCCGTGGCATGGCACGGGAAATGACGCCAGCGCTGCAGCGGGAGCACGAGTCGAAACGAGCGGAAGCGCGGACATGAGGCCAGCGCTGCAGCGGGAGCACGATTCGGAACGAGCGGAAGCACGCCGGAACCGGCCCGGGAGGCTTCCCGGGCGCCAGAAGCAGGAATTCAGCATTTTCAATAAAAAATGTGTATTGGAATGGCCTTTTTTCGGCGCCGCCTCGGAACTCGATTTTCCGGCGCCGGCCGGAACCAGCTCCGGACCCGGCCCGGGCGCTGGCCCGGGCGCGGGCTCGGGCGTCCGGCCCGGGCGCCGGCTCGGGCGCCGGCCCGGGCGTCGGAATCGGCCCGGGAGGCCTCCCGGGCGCCGGAAGCAGAAATTCAACATTTTCAAGAGAAACATGTGTATTAGAATGGTTTTTTTTCGGCGCCGCCTCGGAACTCGATTTTCCGGCGCCGGCCGGAACCGGCTCCAGACCCGGCCCGGGCGCCGGCTCGGGCGCCGGCTTGGGCGTCCGGCCCAGGCGCCGGCTCGGGCGCCGGCCCGGGGCGTCGGAATCGGCCCGGGAGGCCATTCAGCATTTTCATAAGAAAAATGTGTATTAGAATGGCCTTTTTTTCGGCGCCGCCTCGGAACTCGATTTTCCGGCGGCGGCCCCGGACCCGGCCCGAGCGCCGGCCTGGGCGCCGGCTCGGGCGTTCAGCCCGGGCGCTGGCGGAAATGATGCCAGCGCTGCAGCGGGAGCACGATTCGGAACGAGTGGGGCCCGAAAGTGAGGCCGGCGCCCCAGCGAGAGCAGCATTTTGGAAACAAATGCAGGCGAAAACCCAAGTCCGGGGAAACCTGTGTGTAAAATTATCCCGGCAAAGCAACCTAATAACAGCGATGTGTAGAAGCATAGCTGGAAACATTGCCTGTGGTATTCATGTAATAGTGCTGTTGTAGAATTCTGGTGTTCTCGCAGCAGGGCTGTAGCCAAGAAGGCTACGGGGACGATGGTGATGATGAAGATGATGAGTTTTGATAATCTGGGAAGTGGAAAAACACGAAGTGGCGTACAGTTGGCTCCGGGCACTCAAAATGTGGCCCGGGATGGTGTTCTGGGAAGTCCAAGAGCACGAAGTGGCCTACAGTTGGCTCCGGGCATCCAAAATGTGGCCCGGGAATGGAGTTCTGGGAAGTGGAAGAACACGAAGTGGCCGACAGTTGGCTCCGGGCATCCAAAATGTGGCCCGGGAAGGGAGTTCTGGGAAGTCGAAGAGCACGAAGTGGCTTACAGTTGGCTCCGGGCATTCAAAATGTGGCCCGGGAATGGAGGTCTGGGAGGTCGAAGAGCACGAAGTGTGCGACTGTTTGTTTAAAACGAGCCCGACCCTCGCCTGTCCGGCTCCCGCCCAGACCCCCCTGGGGAGTCATCAGATGTTTTTTTTTGACCCCATTAGAAACCTATCAGTCTTCGCTGTTAGGTAAAAATTATCCCGGCAAAGCAACCTAACAGCGATGTGTAGGATCATATCTGGAAGCATTCATCCCCCTTAAGATTCAGATGAGAATCCAGTTTTAGAATTCTGCAGTTCTCGCAGTCGTAGTCGCATTCGCGATGAAAGTCGCAGCGGCAACGGCAGTCGCAGTCACAGCCTCAGCCTCAGCCTGCCTCAGCCTCAGCTTCAGCCTGCCTCAGCCTCAGCCTGCCTCAGCCTCAGCAACAGCCTGCTTCAGCCTCAGCCTCAGCCTCGGCCTCAGCTTCAGCCTGCCTCAGCCTCAGCCTGCATCAGCCTCAGCCTCAGCCTCAGCCTGCCTCAGCATCAGCCTGCCTCAGCCTCAGCCTCAGCCTGCCTCAGCCTCAGCCTCAGTCTGCTTCAGCCTCAGCCTCAGTCTGCCTTCAGCCTCGGCCTCAGCCTCAGCCTGCCTCAGCCTCAGCCTGCCTCGGCCGCAGCATCAGCCTGCCTCAGCATTCAAAATGTGGCCCAGGAATGGAGTTCTGGGAACTAGAAAAACACGAAGTGGCCTACAGTTGGCTCCGGGCATTCAAAATCATACCCAGGAATGGAGTTCTGGGAACTCGAAGAGCACGAAGTGGCCTACAGTTGGCTCCGGGCATTCAAAATGTGGCCCGGGAATGGAGTTCTGGGAACTCGAAGAGCACGAAGTGGCCTACAGTTGGCTCCGGGCATCCAAAATGTGGCCCGGGAATGGAGTTCTGGGAAATCGAAGAGCACGAAGTGGCCTACAGTTGGCTCCGGGCATCCAAAATGTGGCCCGGGAATGGAGTTCTGGGAAGTCGAAGAGCACGAAGTGGCCTCCGGGCACAAAATGTTGGAGTTCGAAGAGCACGAAGTGGCCTACAGTTGGCTCCGGGCATCAAAATGTGGCCCGGGAATAGAGTTCTGGGAGGTCGAAGAGCACGAAGTGTGTGACTGTTTGCTTAAAACGAGGCTGGCCCTGAGCCCGGCCCTCGCTGTCCGGATGCCGCCCAGACCTCCCTTCTGAGTCATCAGATGCTCTCTTTTGACACCACTAGAAACCTATCAGTCTTCGCTGTTAGGTAACAGTACGTGGGGGGGGGGCGGCTACTCCCAAGACGTCATCAAGGGAAGAGGGAGAGCAGTATTCATATTGAGTAATTGTGGAGAAGGAGGAGGAGGAGGTGGAGGAGGAGGAAGAGGAGGAGGTGGAGGAGGAGGAGGAGGAGGAGGAGGAGGAGTGGCGGAGCAGGAGGATGAGGGATGATGATGATGAGGATGAGGATGAGGATGATGATGATGATGATGATGATGATGATGATGATGATGATGTGATGATGATGATGATGATGATGATGATGATGATGATGATGATGTTGATGATGATGATGATGATGGAGGGAGGAGGAGGAGGAGGAGGAGGACGGAGGAGGAGGAGGAGGAGGAGGAGGAGGAGGAGGATGCTGATACTGTGATGGTGATGGTGATGGTGATGTGATGGATGATGATGATGATGATGATGATGATGATGATGATGAGGATGAGGATGAGGATGATGAGGATGAGGATGAGGATGAGGATGAGGATGAGGATGAGGATGAGGATGAGGATGAGGATGAGGAGGATGAGGAGGATGAGGAGGATGATGAGGATGATGATGATGATGATGATGATGATGATGATGATGATGATGATGATGATGATGATGATGATGATGATGATGATGATGATGATGATGATGACAGTAGGATGATGATGATAATGATGATGATGATGAGGAGGGATGGAGGAGGAGGAGGAGGAGGAAGAGGAAGAGGAAGAGGAAGAGGAGGAAGAGGAGGAGGAGGAGGAGGAGGAAGGCAGGATGAGGGCAGGAGGGGGGGAGGAGGAGGAGGAGGGAGAGGGAGCGGCGGGCGGCTGAGCTGGGCGTTCCTCAGGAGGAGGAGATGGAGGAGGAGGGGGCAAACCCTTTGTGCTCGTGGGGCCTTTCTGACATCTTGCCACTCCCACCCATGCTGGGTTTCTCGATCCGCCACTGGGTGTGCCATCTCATGCCAGATCTGGAACCCTCAAAGTGACCCCTACCGTCTTATGCAAGATCAGAAGGGGAGCTGTGTACGCTGAAGCAGGAGGCGGCGGATGAGCAAGAGGATTCGAGGGAGGAGTATGAGGAGGACACGGAAGGAGGAGGAGGAGGAGGAGGAGGAGGAGGAGGAGGAGGAATATCAGCAGGAACAAAAGCAGGAACATAAACAGGAGGAGCAGGAGGGGCAGGATGACCAGGGAAAGACGAAGGGGAAATGAGGGGTGCGACAACGACGAGGAAGCATTCGGATCCATAAGAGTAGCCCGCGTCGAGCAAAGCGCCGATCATGAAATGAGGCCGATACTGCAGCAGGAGCACTGTTTTGCAACGTCAAGAACGTTCGATTGACAAAAGCCATCATGAGCATCAGTTTTCGAAAAGCTACGCGTGAAAAGACAATGCGCGGAAGAACATTGGCCCCGCTCGCACAGAATCCAGGGAGAGGAGAATGGTGTTCATGTTAGCCCCCGTGCACCCCAAACCGTGAGTCATTGCACCGTGGAAGGAAAGGCTATGTGCTGTAAGCTATGCGGTGTGAGCTGTGTGGTGTAAGCTATGTTGTGTAAAGGTTTGTTGTAATAGGCTGTGTACTATGTGTGGTGTAGACTATTTGGCGCAATCTATGTGGTGTAAGCTATAGGGCGTACGTTTTGCGGTCTGAGCTATGTGGTGTACGTTATGTTGTGCAGGCGATGTGCGCCCACGAGCGGGCACGGGCGCGAACATGGCGAAACTTCCTGAAACTCACCCAGCGCACGGGGCGCCCACGAGCGGGTACTGGCGCGAACGTTGTGAGCGCCTGGGAAAGACGAGCAGGAACCCCCGAGGTGCAGCCACTGTTTGGGGAGTACGGCCGGACCGAGGTATAAGATCGAGGTCGGTTTGGGGAGGGCGCCCCGTTGTTCTTCGTCTTTGTTGGATGCTCTTGTGCATCCTGGGGAGGGTAGCCTCGAAGGTCCTTCAGCTTAGCCAGCGGAGGGTCTCATGTTCCTGAGGGATGTTCTTCTGTCCTAGGTCCGACCGCATGGAGCAATCGTGAAGAGGACGCGCGGTGGTAATCCGGCTGAAGCGCCGCGGGGCGCCGACACGCAGCCCGCCAAACTCACTGGGAGGCCGGAGCCGGCGCAGCCCTGCGCCGCGAGCGGGTGAGGAAGTGGGGCTGCAGTGCGTCCAGGCTCGCGCGCCGCGGCGCGGCGCCGCGAGCCCTCCCTTCCCACCCTCCCTCCCTCCCGCCCTGCCCTCAGGCCCTCGATCTCCCGCCCCTGCCTCTCTCAGCCCTTGCCCGGCCCGCTTGTCCTTGTCGGCCCGCCCCGTCGGAAGCAGAGCTGTCACGGGCCTGCACCTCGGCGCTGGCAAGTGGCCCGGCGTCTCACCTCGCAGCAGTGCAGCGTCGAAGCGCGCCCAGGCTCGGCCCACAGCCTCGGCGTGCTGCTCGGAGCCTGCGGGCAGGAGCCGGGCGCCGAGCGGCTGCTCCGGCGCGCCTGCGCTGGGCGCGACGCCGCGCTGGGCGCGGAGCACCCGGACGCGGTGGCCTCCAGGCGGGAGCTGGCTTCGCTGCTGCTCCGCGCGGGGAAGGTGGGCTGCGGTGAGCGCAGGCGTACATCGGAGGCCTAGAGGTTGGCACCAACACCAATATCGGCGGTGCGCCTCCACCGAAGGAAGATCCCCATCTCGGCGGTGATACTCGGGCTTCCTAGGTGGCCGAAGAAGGATCACCAGCACCGAGAAATCTGGGTCCAACTTCTCCTGGTGGAGGCAGGCCCCTGTGCTGGCGTTGGTGCCCAGTCCCACGCCTCCAAGGGAAGGCTGGGGGCTGCGCACAGGCAGCGCCCCGAGGTGGTCGGCAGGCCCCGCGCACGGGCAGCCTGGGGGGGGAGGTCTCAACGCCCCGGCGCCGCCCCAGGGGGTGTTGAGAGGACCGCCCCAGGCTGCTCGGGGCTGCTCCGCGCGCGGGGAGGGCGGGCCGCGGCGAGCGTACCGCGCCCACCGCAGGTGCAAAATGAACCGAAAGCGCAGGCGCGAAACCAGCCCCGGCGAGTCCGAGATCTCGCCCGTCCCGGGCTTTTCCTGTGAGCCTGCGGTGGCGGTGGTTGTCCCGCTGTGGCCCTGCAGGCTCGGAGCGGCGCACAGGCAGCGCCCCGAAGCGGTGCCTGCTGGCCTCGGCGGGCCCCACGCACGGGCAGCCCGAGGAGGCCCCAGCGCCCCAGCGCCGCCTGTGGACGTGTTGAGGGACCGCTCCGGGCTGCCCGGTGTGCCAGCTCAGGGCAGACGCCAGGTCCCCCTCCCCGGGGCGCGAAGGTGATCGCGCTTCGCGCATTGCGGCTTGGGTTTGGGAGGCGCCCTCCTCCAGGGCGGCGGCGCGAGGGCGCAAAGGTAACCGCGCGTCGCGCATCGCGGGGCACGAGGGCGCGAAGTCAGGCGGCCTAGAGACGGGGCTCCCTCAGGGGGTGGGGCCGTCTGTGCGCAGCCCCACGCCTCGCCAAGGTGGACGAGTCCCTGGCATGCCTCCAGTCCGCCTTCGAGCACCTGGTGGACGCCAGGGGGCCCGACGAGGCGCGGCGGCGCGGCGCGAGGGGGGGCGGTTCTCTCTGAGACGGCTGGGCGGTTTCCCAGAATCAGCCACGCGCAAAGGCTGGTGGGGGGAGGGGGAGGGCTTCTTGGAAGCACCCCTGCTTCTTAGAAGGCGCGGGCTTTATATATAATAACGAGAGAGAGAGAGAGAGAGAGAGAGAGATGGAAGGCCAGCGCCTTCTAAGAAGCAGCCTCCTTCTAAGAAGCCCTCCCCCCCCCCCTCCCCCCACCCCCTTGTGCGAGCCGCCAACAGAAGCCCTCCTTGAGAATGTGCTCTCTGTGTGCTGGAAGCGTGCGGGCTGCAGCAGGGACATCAGCGGCAGAGTCGTGCCCTGCACAGATAGCACCCTGCCCTCCGAGGAGCCGCACGGCTCCTCCGAGGAGCCCCCCTGCCCTCCCAGACGGCCGACCCCTGACTCGCCCCATCCCCCCCCCTCGTGCGAGGAGGGCGGTCCTCTGAGAAGACAGGGCGGTCTCCCAGAAGCCCTCCTGCCTTCCGAGAAGCCGCACGGCGGCCTTTCCGAGGAGCCCAGGGGCGCGAAAAGAATCGCGTTTCGCGCGTCGCGGCCTTGGCCGAAGAGCTGCTCTTCTTGAGGGTTGCCTCGCGAGGGCGGGAAAATAAGCGCGAGTCGCGCACCGCGGGGCGCGATGCGCGAAGTTAGGTGACGCAGGGAACCCCCCTGCCCTTCTCAGGAGGCCGCCCCCCCACTCGCCCCACTCCCCCTCGCTGCGCGCTGCCACGAGGCAGAGGCGCTCGCCGCAGCCGACGCGCTGGCCGAGGCGCTGAGCGCCGGCGAGCGGCACGCGGAGGCCGAGCTTGACAGCCCCTCCTTCTCTTCCTCCTACAGGGTGATTTGACCTGACTTGTCTTGCTATCCAGTTGCCGCTATTGTTTTTCATCACCTCTCCGACTCATGCCTGGACCCTCTTGGAATCCACTGCCTCTCTGTTATGAGGCAGATGTATAGGAGAGGGAACAGAGGACAGAGTGTTTACACAGTTTGGAGGAATTAGTGAATTCAGTATGGGTCGGGCTTGAAGTGCCTCGAAGAAAGCGCGCGCACCCGAATCGCAGGCATATGGCTATACGCGGACCCGGGGCAGTTTGCTTCCAGAGGCCGTCCTCTCCCTTGCTCCGTTCCCCTTCCTTTCTTCCCTCCCCTGGATGGTGTCGAAAGCGTCCGCGGCTCGGGCGGGGGAGCGCCCCTTCCCACCTCCTTCATTACTCCTCGTTCCTATTTGCCTCCCTGCTCCACCGTCCCTCGTCCTACCTCGTCCTCCCTCCGTGTTGCAACGTTTGTTGCATGACCCTCTCTACAGTAACAGACCCACGTTGGAGTCCAAGGACCTGCTCAGTCGGATGTCTTTTCTTCCTTCCGCGGGGGCCCCTCTTCGCGGCGCCCCGTTGAACTTTGGACCCCTGGCGGCGCGTGGATTTTTCCTCTTACCACGCTGGCCTTGCCATTGGAACCCTTGAAGTCTTCACATTCGAGTATCACTAGTACTATAGTGCTACTGGTACTAGCGTGTATTAGTTTGCAGCCAGTACTAATTAGAGTGTGCCTGGTCCTAAAGCAGAACGCACAAGGGGTGCTTAATCAGCTTCACGTGAGTGATGAAGTCGTACCACCGTACGACCGTGTACTTCAGCGTAAGTACGATCACTAGCTTAGCCCAACAACTTCTAGAGTGCTGCTGGGTTGCATGTGCAACCTGGGCTCGCGCTTTCCCTCTGGTTGCGCCCCCTGTGGGGAGGGGGCTGCTGGAACCCCACACGCGAGCACCCCCGCGGCTGAGAGTTCATTCCGCGTCCGAAATGTGAGACGGGGGTTATTCCCGTGCTCGAACCCCTCGCCACGGATTTGTTCGCGGAAAGCTGATCCCCTGAGTTCTTCGGCGCGCCCCTGTAGTCCTTTCTTTCCGGATGGGCCCCGATGGGTCTTACGCTCGAGTCGGCTGGGTGATCTGTTTTTACCCATTGCTTGAGGCCGCGGCCACACCCGCCTGGCCCGAGGTGCAGTCAAGACGCTGAAGTAAGGACCACTTTCGGCGGAAGGGCTCTGGTTTTCGGGCCGCTCCCCAGGGCTGGGTCGGGGAACTTACTCGTGGGCGAGGCGCGCCGTGGCCACACGGGCCCCTCCGTTCCCACTTCGGCGCTCCTCGTGGTGGCTCGATGACTGCAGGCCTGGGCATCTGTCCGCAGCGGTGGCCTGCCTGCCACGCGGAGGCCGAGCGCCTGCTGCGAGGGACCCTGGAGCGCAGGGAGGCCGCGCTCGGGCCCGACCACGCGGAGACGCTGGCGACGGTGGACCAGCTGGCGCTGCAGTTGCGGGCGCAGGGCAAGTGCGACGAGGCGGAGCGGCTCTTGAGGCTCGCGGTGAAGAGGGCGGCCCTAAGAGGGCGGGCCGTAAGAGGGCGGGCCCTGAGGGGAGCAGGGGTGCTGGGGCTCTTCCGCCGCTCGAGTGCCTCCGCGCCCTTACGGGAGCCCCGAGGCTGTAAAACGCGGGCTCGGCATGAAGAGTGGTCCTTGGGGGAAGCCTAGGGGTGTATTGGAGCCCCGTTTCCCCCAGTGGCCCCTCCCCTCGAAGAAAAGAAATATTTCAAAGATGTGTTTCCGGAGGTCCGAGCGGATTTCTTGGTCGGCGCTAGGTCCCCCCGGTGGCGCCTGCGGCGCCGCCCCTGGCGCGCTCCGCGCGCCAGTGAGGAGGGTCCAGCGCCGATCCAAGAATCCGCGCGGAGCTCCGACAAGCTACACGTTTGCATGTGTGTATTTCTTGTTCCATTCCCTCGGTGCCGGTGAGGCGTGTGCTGGCAGTCGATGCACTCGCATAAGGCGTGCTCCAGTGGAGCGGGCATGGCGCGGATCCCGACTCGGCTCTGTCGCCTCCCACGCCGAGGAGGGAGCCGTTTTGTCGGGTAGTCGCGCGCTGTCCTCCTGGTAGCCCGTCCCGCCTGGGAACGGGCGGTTTCGGTATCGGGTGCCTATCGCCGATCTATCGGCGATATATCGCCGTTGCCAGGTCGATGTCGCCCCCCCCCCCTGAGCCAGTCTCCTGGTGGTTCTCTGGTTATAGCTTGGGTCTCCAGCGGCCGTCCGAGACGATCTGGGGGAACCCCCAGAACGCCCTCGGCGAGGCGCAGCCGTTGGAAGATTTGGGAGGCATCCCGAGGCTGGAAAGCCGCCGAGGAACAACGAACACGCCCGAAAGCCTCACCTCTTGAACTTCGCAACTTCGAACCTCCCCCCTATCGTCCCCCCCTACTTAGCTGCCCTGATACGCCCGTGCTGAAACGCAGAACGTGCCATCTTCACAACGTCGGTGGCCACACGCTGCGTGTTGGCTCGGCACGTGTTGGCCCACGTTTCGGAGAACGTATCGCGCCGGACCCACGCTTTAGGTCTGCACGTTGAGCTCCGCGTCAACACGCTACACGCTGGTCGTTGAAGGTAGGTGTTTCTGAGCTTCCCAGATCCCAACCTACTTCCAGCGCCTTCCCACTTCAAGAATCTATATGTGTTTGATGTTGTTGGTTCTCCACCTGGCAGGTTTGGGTCGTAATATGTGAAAAACACATGTGCCAGCCAGCCCACCCTGCATGCCGCGGCCGCCAGATCCCCAGGTCTACTGAGAATCCTCCGAGACCCCCGCCTCGCGCCGACCCGCCCATTCTGCATTTCGCGGCCACCAGATCACCAGTTTCAACGAGAATCCCCCGAGACCCCCGCATCGCCCTTTCAACGAGCACAACAGAACCTGACAGGACTGATCATACGTCCACACATCTTACATACGATAGCACATCACGACATACTATAACATACTAGAACTGGTCCTATTATGACATACACATAACATATCATTACATTGCATGACAGCGCATACCATTACAGAGCCTGACATACCATATTATGAAGTACCAGAACATAGTATGACAGAGCAGAACACAACATTCCACACCAGAGCAGCGCATGCAATGACAGATCGAACATACAGCACATACCACAACACACACATTACCACATCACAGCCTCGCATGGCATGTCATATCATCACTTAACATACCATCGCATAACACATAAAACCAAGCCACGTGATCACACAACCGAACGTTCCATCTCAAGACAAATCAGACCATGCCAGAACGCGGCAGAACATAGTAGAAGTAGCATAACCTCCCTCTGTATAGTACCATAGTAAACCGAGCATGATATTCTGTAACATGGCAGCAAAACATATAACCTAACATCGCATAACCGCGCATGCAATGACAGAGCGGAGCATACAAAACATAACACAAGACCACACACCACCACATAGCAGGACAGAGCATAACAACACAGACTGATTGATTTGCGGCCCATCCCGCCACCTTGTCTGGGTTGCGGGTCGCAATGCTCAGGGATGTGTGTTGGTGTCTCTTCGGAGCGCTCTCCGGGGCCTCTCAGGAGCAGTTTGATTGAGGGCCTTTTAGGAGCCTCTTGGAGGCCTCTTGGGGGTTTCTTGGGGCATCTTGGGGGTCTCTTGGGGCCTCTTGGGAACCTCTTGGGGGTGTCTTGGGGCTTCCCGGGGGCCACTCGGGGCCGAGGGCCCGACATGTCCGCTCGGGTCCCCTACCTGGGCCCCTCTTGGAGCCGTGTTTGGGGCCCGTCTTGGGGGCATCCTGGGCAGTCGTGGGGCCATCTTGGGCCGTTTTGGTGCCCTCCTGCAGGCCTAATGGGCCGTCTTGGGGCGATCTTGGGGCCTCTAGGGCCGCCTGGGAGCGTCGCGAAGCCGAAAAGGCGAGAAAGCAATTCGCCTGGCGAAGGACCCAACCATATGCAGTTGTGAGTGCCGCAGTTGTGAGTATCGTCTTCGGTGGGCCTCCCCATGGGGCCACGAGGCGTGTGAGAGATGTGCCGAGATGGAGGCGGAACCACATGCGAACCTTGCCACTGGGGCCTTCGGTGGAGCTCCCTATGGGGCCACGAACCGTGTGAGGGATGTGCCGAAATGGGGGTGGAACCGCATGCGAACCCTGCCATTGGGGCCTTCGGTGGAACTCCCTATGGGGCCAGGAGCCGTGTGAGGGGAGTGCCGAAATGGCGGTGGAACCGCATGCGAACCTTGCCACTGGGGCCTTTGGTGGAGCTCCCTCGAGTGTCAGGAAACGTGAGAGGGGTATGCCGAGATGGGGCTGGAACCGCATGCGAACCCTGCCACTGAGGGCTTCGGTGGAGCGCCCTATGGGGCCACGAACCGTGTGAGGGGTGCGCCGAAATGAGGGTGGAACTGTATGCAAACTCTGCCTCTGGGGCCTTCGGTGGAGCTCCCTACGAGGCTCCGAGCCGTGTGAGGGGTGCGCCGAAATGAGGGTGGAATTGCATGCGAACCCTGCCACTGAGGCATTCGGTGGAGCTTCCTATGGTGGCCACGAACCGTGTGAGGGGTGCGCTGAGATGAGGGTGGAACTGCATGCGAACCCTGCCACTGAGGCATTCGGTGGAGCTCCTTATGGGGCCACGAACCGTGTGAGGGGTGCGCCGAGATGAGGGTGGAACCGCATGCGAACCCTGCCAATGTGGCCTTCGGTGGAGCTCCCTTTGGGGCCACGAACCGTGTGAGAGGGGCACCGGAAATTGGGCGGAGCTGCATGCGAGCATTATCTAACGTGAGAGGCGTCACGACGTCACATGCTCGTCGAGAACAGAACAGGACATAATAGAGCATACCATTCCATAACTACATGCAACATCGTTGAATGCTGCTCTATACAGAACAACAGTATTGAAGTGGAACATCACGACGTAACATAACTGATCACAACATAACGTACTGGATCGTGCTATACGTCAAGGATCTGAGTACAAGGGAGCACCATTGAACATAACAGAGTCGAACATAGCATGCTATGACATACCATGCCAGACAATGGTGCCACAACGCAGAACCTCCCTCAAATCATATCAAAGTATACTGTGACAGAGGTGAGCAAAACAGAGCATGCGTGAACGGAAAAGAAGAACAAACATGAAGGCGAACTCCCGCTCCTCATCCTGCTGCTGCTGCTCCTCCTCCCCCTTCAGCAGGATGCATATTTTCTCCGAACAAATCTGGGGGTCTCGCACCACGCGTTTCGGGGTGGTTTTGTCACCCCAGGGCGTGTTTCGTTTGTTGTTCGTCTGGGGGTCTGGGGCTGCTAAATTAGGGGGACCGCAGCTTGCGACCTGGTGGTCCCACTGCCGCGCTTGTCGAGACAATCGGGCCCCGCGCGCATCGTTCCAGTAGGCGCGCGCACCGTCGGGAACAAACGCCGAAAACTCTGGTGGGGATCGCTAGAAACAAAATACTTAGTATGAGCGGGCCCAGGACTAATATACGTTATCCGCCTTCCTACTTCATGCTTGCACGTGCTTCTTCCGACTGGCGGGCATACGAGTTGCATGTTGCGTATCGGGGCAGCCAAGCTCCGATACGCAACTTCCGAACATACGAAGCTAATATGCGTGCATGCATGTATGCCGTCGGCGATCTGCGGCGGGCGCATGCGCAAATCCCCTGGAGGGAAACTGCTCAGCCCGCGGCACTTCGACCCAGACGTCCGAGGAGATGGTTTGCCTAACCCTGGCGTTCCTTCTGGATTTCGTCCTCCCCTCCCCAGCGATCAGCCACGCGCAGAGGGGGGTGGGGGGAGGGGGAGGTCTTCTTAGAAGCACCCCTGCCTCTTAGAGGGCGCGGGCCTTATCTGTAGATGCAAGGCCGGCGCCCTCTAAGAGGCAGCCTCCTTCTAAGAAGCCCTCCCCCCTCCCCCCCCTCCCCCTTGTGCGCGCCGCCGACGCGAGGCGTGCGCTGGCTGGCCGCGAGACGGCGCTGGGCGCGGAGCACGTGGCGTCGCTGGAAGCCGCCGGCCGCCTGGCGCTGCACCTCGGGGCGCAGGGGCGGCACGCGGAGGCCCTGGCGTTGCGCCAGCGGGCTTTCGAGGGCGCGGAGGCCGCGCTGGGCCCCGGGCTCGGCCGAGGCGGAGGAGGAGGAGGAGGAGGAGGAGGAGGAGGAGGAGGAGGAGGAGGAGGAGGAGGAGGAGGAGGAGCTGGAGTAGGAGGAGGAGAAGGAGGAGGAGGAGGAGGAGGAGGAGGAGGAGGAGGTATGAAGGAGGTATGAAGGAGGATAATCGAGGAGGAGGAGGAGGAGGAGGAGGAGGAGGAGGAGGAGGAGGAGGATAATACAGGAAGAGGAGGAGGAGGTGACGGAGGAGGAGAAGGTGGAGGAGGAGAGCCCCCGGACTCCGACTGATCGGTCGGCCCGGGAGATCCAAGGCTCCGAAGCAAATTGAAGCGGCCCGTGTTGGGCTATTTTCGGCCTCCGGGGGCCCCCAACGGGCCCCGAGACCGTCAAAATTCCACTCAGGAGGAAAACTGGCCCCAGTGAGGTGGTTCAGACCTCCTTCGAAACAAACAAAACTGGGTCCCCGTGAGGTCCAGGGGTCTCCCGCGCCGACCGCCCGCGGTGCGCCGTTAGGCGCGCGGGGCGTCCGCGCGGACCTGGGGAAGCTCTGAGTCGCGCTGAATCGCGCTGCGGCAGGCAGGCAGGCAGGCAGGCAGGCAGGCAGGCAGGCAGGCAACCTGGCAGGAGGAGGAGGTGGAGGAGGAGGAGGAGGAGGAGGAGGAGGAGGAGGGAGAGAGAGAGGGAGAGGGAGAGGGAGAGGGAGAGGGAGAGGGAGAGGGAGAGGAGGAGGAAGAGGAGGAGGAGGAGGAGGAGGAGGAGGAGGAGGATTTAGTGGAGAAGGAGGATGAGGGTCCCCCGATTGATCGGTCGGCTTGGTCCGGCGACTCGGTCGAGCGACTCGATTCGATCGTTTCAGCTCGATCGTGCAGCGATCTCGCCAGACCGCGGATTGAAAAACACATGTTAGCGGATGTCAGGGTAGACTTTCGAAGCTCCGCGCGGATTTCGTGGATCGGGGTTGGGCCCCCGTGTCGGCGCGCTAGCGCGGATCTCCGACAGCTTATGTCTGTAATTGTTTATGCATATGTTGCTCCTCCACTCCTCCCGCGATCGATCGGCTCGATCAGGCGACTCGGTCGAGCGTTTCAGTAGACTCGATCGGCCAACGAATTCGCCCGACCTCAGCCACGCGCAGAGGGGTTTAGGGGGAGGCGGGAGGGCTTCTTAGAAGCACCCCTGCTTCTTAGAAGGCACGGGTTTTCCTTAACTATGTAGGGCTGTATGGCCGGCGCCTTCTATGCAAGAAGCAGCTTCCTCCTTCTGAGAAGCCTTCCCCCTCCCTCCACGCCTTTATGCGCGCCGCCAGCGATCGGATCGATCCATCAGACCGCACGCGTCGGCGCTGCGCGTGTCCGCGGCGGGCGCACGGGCAGCTCAGCGCCCACGTTGCTCTGGGGGCTTCGGCCGTGAGCGTGCCGCTGTGGGCGAGACTGGGCACGACGGTGTGTTGGAGCCTCGATGCTTTGGCGCACCATATCATTAAGGCGCTCACTGGCGTGCATCCATCCTACAGGGGAACGAAGGGGGAGTGGAGGCGAGGGGGGGACAAGGAGGATGAGGGGATGGGGAGAGGGAGAGGGAGGGGGAGGGAGGAGGGGGATGGATGCCCGATCCCCGAGCCTCCCCCGATCCACAGTTCTGCAGGAGTCCGCGGTGACTGCCAGCCCGCGGCGGGCTCTTCTTTGCCTCGCGGGCTCTCTCGGCTCCCTGCGCAGATGTCCGGGCTCGCCTCGTTCCCCTGGCCTTTCTTCGGCTCGGGCGTCTTCCTCGGTTCGGCGGTTTCCTCAGTCCCGTGTTTCCTCGCTCGTGAGAAGTAGAAAAATGGAGGAGGAGGAAGAGGAGGAGGAGGAGGAGGCTCCCCCCTCAGTCCCTCTCCTCGCCCTCCTCCTTGCTCCTCCTCCTCCTTGCTCCTCCTCCTCCTCCTTGCTCCTCCTCCTCCTTGCTGCTCCTCCTCCTCCTCCTCCTCCTCCTCCTCCTCCTCCTTCTACCTGCTCCTCCTACCTGCTCCTCCTCGACCTCCTCCTCCTCCTCCTCCTCCCTCCTCCCTCCTCCCTCTCCCTCCTCCTCCCTCCTCCCCTCTCCTCCCCTCCTCCCTCCCTCCCTCCCTCCTCCCCTCTTCCTCCTCCTCCTCCTCCTCCCTCCTCCTCCTTCCTCCCTCCACTCCTCCTCCTCCTCCTCCACCTCCACCTCCTTCCTCCTCTCCTCCTCCTCCTCCTCCTCCTCCTCTCCCCCTCCCCTCCCCCTCCCTCTCCCCCTCGCCCCTCCTCCTTTTCCCCCCCTCGCCTCCACTCCCCCTTCCTTCCCCTGTAGGATGGACGCACACCAGTGAGCGCCTTAATGATATGGTGCGCCACAGCATTGTTCCCTCTTCTGTCCTCCAGCCCTCCTTCGACTCGTACTCCTCTGATGCTCTGCCCGCCATCCCTGTCGCTCAGGTTTCTAGGCCCCCCGAGGCGAAAGGCAAAAGCCAGAGATCTCGAAACTCTCATGCTGAACCTGTAGGTGCAGGCTTGCCGCCACCGCAGGGCTCCCACGGCACAAGCCAGTGGCGAGTTGGCCGCGGATGTGGTCGAGGCCGCTCAGGGGGGTCGGTGGTGGGTGGGACGGGTGGGTCGGGAGGGGGGGGGGGGAAGGACTTGAGCCGCTGGCCCCCCGTAGGGGTATCCGCCTGCGGGCTGCGCGCCCTTCGTGCGGATCGCCCCCGATGTGGGTCAGCGCGGGCAGGACCCGAGTAGCCTTGGGCAGCACGGGCTGTTCATATCATTGTCGCAACGCGACACCCAAAAGCGTTCACGGCACCGCCCTTAGTGTGAATTGGCCGCTTCCCAGGGCCAATTGGACTGAACTGAACCTCCTCCCTCCTTCCTCCCTCCCTCCTCCTCCCTCCCTTGCGACCCGAGATCTGAACCTCCTCTTTCCTCTCTCCCTCCTCCCTCCTCCCTCCTCCTCCCTCCCCTGCGACCCGAGAACTGAGCCTCCTCCCTCCTCTCTCCCTCCTCCCTCCTCCCTCCCTCCTCCTCCCTTCTCCCTCCCTCCTCCCCCCTTCTGCGACCCGAGAACTGAGCCTCCTCCCTTCTCCCTCCTCCCTCCCTCCTCCTCCCTTCTCCCTCCTCCCTCCCTCCTCCCTCCCTCCTCCTCCCCCCCCTGCGACCCGAGGCCCCGAGCACCCCCTGAGCCTCAGCTGCCTCCACGACCTGGCGCAGCTGCTGCGGGCCGCAGGCAGGCCCGACGATGCAGAGCCGCTGTGCCAGAGCCTGCTTCTCCGCAAGGAACCGGGCCCTCGTCGTCGTCGTCGTCGTCGTCGTCGTCGTCGTCGTCGTCTTCGTCGTCGTCGTCGACCTCCTGACCCTCCTCTTCCTACTCCTCCTTGTAGTAATCTCCGTTCTCGTTCTCGTCGTTATCCTCCTCCTCCTCCTCCTCCTGCCTCCTCCTCCTCCTCCTCCTCCGCAGCCGTTTTGGCTCAAGATCCCAACGTTGGCTGGCACGGCGCCAGCAGGCTTTCCATGGATACCGCTAGTCCGCGGCCAGCTCTGGAGTTTCTTCTGGATCCTCCTTTTTTGCATTTTCACGCGGCATATTCCCGAGGTGCCGCGGCCTCTCTCCGCATCCGCTCGCCTGCTGAAGTTCAAGAAGAAGGACTGCCCACATGCCCGAGCACGACAGGGACCGCTCTCCTCGTGGCATGAGGCAGCTACTGGCAAGAAACAGTATTCCATCAAAGCCGAGTTGGAGCAACTCCTCTCCGCCCAGGTCGCTGCCGCCTCAGCCAAGTTCCAAGCTACTGCTGAGAGAGCCACGGCCGATGCTCAAGCCGCCTTCCTCGCCCAAGTTCAAGGAGTTGCAGGTGCTGTCGCAGCCAGACAAGACGCCTGTGAACATGACATTGCTAATCTCAAACGCAGGGTGGCCAACGCTGAAGTTGCACGCCAAACGCTCAACAAATCAGTCGAGGAGATCAAGTCCACGCTCGCCATTGCCGAGGCCAAGATACCCAGCCTTGACATCGCCAACAGTGGGAAGTGGAACCGACCTGGACACATTGGCACATGGTGGTGTGGTTCTACGGTTGACATCACCAAAGATCAACTACAACAAGCTCTCACTCCATGGTTCAAAGCTGCTGGAGTGGACCCGGCAAACGTGCGCTTCAACAACGCTGCTCCTGGCAAGCGCGTTTCCATCATTTTCATGGGAGACGACACTGTCGTTCGACCGCGTGCACAAGCTCTTCACAACCATCTTCGAATCGGACGAGGCCAGCGGAAGTTTGTCATCTCCAATGGCAGCATCGACCACGACCTCTTCGTCAGCGCAGACAGAGGCCCCAAGTTGGTACGACGAGAAGTGCAGCTCAAGCGTCTCGCCAAGCCCACCGCCACCGCCTTCCCCGCGCTCGACATCCGCACGCACAGGACTGATGCATTCCCTTCAGTCGACAACGAACCAATCGTTCGCATGTATGCGGGTAACTCTCCATCGGGGCAGACAAGAGTCCAATGTTCTGACGCAGCTGTTCGACATGGAGTTTCTGAACAACACCGCAATCACCTGGGCGTGGCCCTCGCCAGCTCTCTTGGCAACGCACTGGAAGCAGCGCCGTGGCTTTAGCACTCGCTGGACGCCGTGAATGCACGCCGACTCGAATCCGGACTCCTCCATTGTCAGCTGGAATGCGCGGGCACTCTTGCGCTCCGATCCTCGCAGGAGCGACGTCCAGCGGAAGACCCTGATACCGTGCCTCAAGAGGTTCTCTATCATCGCTCTTCAGGAGACGCATGGGACCAGGACCTCCCTGCACCTCATGGCCAATTCCACAGCGATCAGGTACCAGGCGCACCACAGCCCTATCCTTGGCAACCTCGCCGCGGGTCGCGTTGCCTTTCTAGCGCCCGAGTGCCTCCCCAAGCCTGGAGACATCGACCAGACGGCCAAGCCCGACATACATTTCTCCGCTATTGTTCTTGGCCGTGCCGCTCTCCTTCGTATCTGAATATCCACAATCACGACCTTTCTGCCGCCGACCGAGCTGCCGCCAAGCACGCTTGCTTATCCGCGAACAGCGAGGCGCTGGCCGACCCCGACCACGCGCTGTTATTCATGCTCGGGGACTTCAACATCGCCGAGCACCCAGCGCGCCGTCTCACTCGACCTATTGACATACATGCGAATGAGCGATATCAGTATCAGCCAACTGTTTGGAAGCAGCTCTTCCGCCAGCTCTCCGAGATCACCGCCGCATCGACCACTCACCGCCTGCGCAGCGAACTCCACGGAATCTTGCATTGGCCGCTTCTTCGCGTCTTTCGCCGCTCACAACGCCCCCCTAATCGAGACCACCATGGGTATTGATGACTCTCCTCTGGATTGCCTTGGCAGCCCAGCCAGCGATCGCAAACTCACACAGGTTCGAATCCGACATCGTGCACAACGCCCACATGCTGAGCGAGGCACCCCCGCTTATCTTGTCCAGTCCAAGTTCTACGCGAGCGCCGTCGAGCACCTGTCCCTGGACACCGACTACGACAACCCCGCCCCGATCGGCAAATGGAAAGCCCTCAAGGAGAACATGATTACTGCTGCTCCCCAAGCTCGCGACGCACTCGCGCGTCTCCATCCTGATATTCTGCAGTCCGACCGCAACGCCATCTCCAAGGAGGTCAACCCCATGACCATGCGCAGCATTGCCCGAGCGCCGTGGTACCAAGGCGCCAAACTCGCCCGCAGTCTCATCGACAAGTCGACACTGGGCTCGAAGTACCTCCAGATGGACGCGATCCCAGCATCCCCGCACTGCTACTCTGTCATTGTGCTGAAGGACCCTGCGCTCTTCGCGACTGACGCCGCCACCTACCACGCCGCGGCCCCTGATGAGCGACGCGCTCAGGCTGCTGCCGCTGCTCGCCAAGCTTTTCGAGAACAACGGCAGCTATGAGGCGACAGGTGGCGGAAACGAGTCAACGCTGAGCGTAGGACATGGGAGTGTTGGAAGCCCTTTCCCAAGCGCCTGGTGCTCGCTGGTATCCGAGTGCCCCGTGGCGCGCCCAACCCGCTGCTCAAGGACCCAATGGACATGCACTCCGCCATTCAAGCCCACTGGATGCCGATCTTCACCGACAAGCCAGTAGACACCAACGCCATGCACTCACACCTTGACTCGGTCTTCCCCCGCATGCCGACCTTCGACACCGCGGTTCCCGACGAGCACGGCCTCTTCCCGGCAGCGAGGAATGCTTCTGACTCCGCACCTGGACCTGACGGCCTTCTTCATCGCGCCTGGCTCGCCGCTCCCAACAGTTTCTCCATCCTCGCCAACCGCGCCATGATGGCAATGCTACCGAAAGGAGGCGAACCTGCCGGGCAAACAGAGTGCACTCGTGAACCTGGACAGTTGCGCCCCCCTCGCCATGAAGAACACCGATGTGAAGATCATCGCTTCCGCCACGAACAGAAAGCCCAAGCCGCAGATGAAAACATATTTCGCCCATCCAGCGTGGCTCTGTCCCTCGGCGACAGTTTTTGGACAGCGTTGTCGAGGTCGACACATGCGGCCGCAAGTATAGCACCCTTCCTGACGCCCGAGCTTTTCAACCATGCTTCCTGAGCATGGACATTGCGGCCGCCTTCCCGGGCCTCTCGCGCGCCTGGATGTGGAACGTCCTACAGAGGTTGGATATACACGGCCGCAGTTTCACCCTGATACAAGCATTTCACCACATGCCGATCGCGCTGCTCGAGATGGGAGGCACGCGCCGACCGCCCTTCCTCGCATGAAGTGGGGTCGCGCAAGGGTGCCCCCTCAGTGGCACCATCTGGGCATTGATTTTCGACCCTCCACTGATCGGCATCAACGAGTACTTCAAGACAGTCCAAAAGGGGTATAGCCACGGCATGTGCGGATGATTTAGGATGCGTTCTTGCCTGTCTCCGTGACATTGAAGGATTGCGACCTCACTTGTTTGCGATTGCGTAATACGTTGGCCTTCACCTTCAACCACGCAAGTGCGTCTTGGCCCCCGTCTGGACCATTGCCTCTTCCGACCTGATCCACAGCATCAGAGACATTCTCGCTCACATCCACGCCGATTGGGCCCTCTTCAAGATCGAGTCCTCTGCCAGGTACCTCGGCGTCTTCATGGGGCCCGGAGCTGACGAACGCATTCAATGGTCTGGCCCTGCCGCCAAGTGGCTGTACCGTGCCCAGATCCTCGGCGAATCTCACGCACCGACCCAGCATATCATCAGTTCGCACAACTCTTCTGCGCTGACGACGCTATCCTACGTTGGCCAACTCTTCCCTGTACCAGAACTGATTCTCAGCCGCGAGATCCATATACTCCACAAGATAATCCGCTCGCCGCCCTCGGCCTTGACCAAGCTGGGCATATTGGGCCGAGGAATTGGGCCGGAGCTGACATCCCCACGGGCGCAGAAGTGCTGATAAGTGCGACGCCGTGGAGAGCTGCTACCACTGCCATCAAGAGTTGCCCCCCCTGGTAGACGTGCTCAGCGAGTCCGCCAGGGGGAATCTCCCCATAGTCGCTACGGTGAAGGGGCGCTGGTCTGCCGTGTGTTGGGCCGCGCCGTTCTCGATTGCCCAACATCTCCAAGCGGCGAAGAACGGCGCCGCTTTCCCAGCGGGCAAGGGCTCCACATTCATGGCTCTAAAAAGAACGAAGAACGCAGACTACGCCCGACGATAGCTTCTGGGTGCTCACCGCAACGCTGCGGCCTCGGCGCTCTTGCCCCCACGTCGTCCCGTTCCTGCTCCTGTGAGGAGTGTACATCGACACAGTTCACCTCGATCGAAGTACTTGGCCATCCTCCAGACCCACCTCTACGAGGACAATTTCGATATCACCATTGTGAAGAGGCTGAAACCATGGTTCCCGTACACCCCCATGGCTGCTGACGGGCAAGATCCCTCAGCAGGGGGTGAACACCAACTACTCAGCACTGCCACCCGAGCATTACTGAGCTCTACGTTTTCGACCCCTCCTCAGACGACATCGGCCCCTGCTACCTTTTCTCCTGCCCCCGCGCCTGATGAGAACCAAGATGACCATATTGCTGCTGCTCGTGAATTACATGTTCTTGCCGAAGTACTCACGCATTGGCCTGCGGATTGGCTTCCCGACTTGTACATCGACACCTGGGACCGCACTCTACGTCGAGATGTCGATTGGATGGGCTGGTGCGAACAATATGTGCTCCGTCATCTTCGACGATGGAGTTCCCGCATTCTCTACACCGCCGCATCGGAAGAATACCTCCGTCGCCGTGCTCGCAACATACGCCGACAAGCCCGGCGCGATTCAGACGCCAACCGCTACGACAGGGCGGTATACATGACGAGGGTACCGCGGCCAGATGACATTCAAGCTGCTTTCAACCTTGCGGCCGAAGAACCTCGTCTTCGTCGCCAGTGGATACATATGGCTGACTTCGTCTCTGACCCGTCCGACAACACCTACATCGAGGAGATCAATGAGCACCTACACCCAGATGCTGGCTCTTTCAACGACCTGACCGCGCTGTACCAGCTCCCGAACAGTGTCAAGATCCAGTGGCGGCGCACGCGAGCAGTGGTCGCCCGTATGCTCCCTTCACGATTCTGGCCCACGAAGAAGACCCTGGCGGGCGCCTGGTCAACTTCATGCCGTCTTCATGTACAACCTGATCGCCGCCCCTGCATATACGGGTCAATGCGAACTACGCAACGGATAGCATCTCGCACTACCTCATCTGCCCTCGACAGCGGCACGCATAGGCATATCCCAGGGGCTGCCACTTGAACTGCTTACTGGCCCGCCTCGGGATGCACGAAAGCTGCCACAACGTCGACCCGAACAACGAGAACCATGTCTCCTTGCGATGGTCCGCATGGCCGTCGCCTACCGCATGTACCACACACGCAAGGATTATCAGGCCTCCTACGCCGACGTGAACGCGTTCGAGGTCTCGACGTACAACCATCTGAGTGAAGCGCGCGCCGCCGTACGCCAGGCCCTCCGTCTCGGCGCATCGCCGCACGGAGGCAGCGCGGGCCTGCCGCCAGCTGCTGGTCATCCTTTCTCTCCTCCCGACCGTCCGCCGTCCCGCTCGTCCTCACGTGCTCCTCTCTTCCGGCCGCCCGACCGTTCTTCTCCTCCGCCTCGAAACGTAAACTACGCAGAATGCACGCCGCCTGTGCCTCCCCGCGCGCCACCTGACGCAGCCAGCGCAGGTGATGGCCGCTAGACGTTGACTCGCCCCCTCCAGGGTTCGTTCGCTCTTCCTCCTCCTAATCCTCCTCCTCCTCCTCCTCCTCCTCCTCCTCCTCCTCCTCCTCCTCCTCCTCCTCCTCCTCCTCATGATCCTCATCATCCTTCACCCCCTGCTCCGCATCCTCGTCCTTATTATACTCGTCCTGCTCCTTGTCCCCCTTCTCCCCCTTCTTTTATGGGATCATATGGGTAGTATTCAACAGTCTTCTCCTCTTTCCAACACCTCTCCCCTATGATATCTACAACGGCGTTGACGTTGTCGTTCTTCTTCCCTCCTCCTCCTCCGCCTCCTCCTCAGTGTATTTGTTTTTCTCATCCTCCCCGCCTCGTCCCCTCCCCCTCCTCCTCCTCCTCCTCCTCCTCCTCTTCCTCCTCCTTCTTCTCAGCAACATCATCGTCATCGTCATCGTCAGCATCAACATCATCATCATCACTAGTTTCATCATCAACATCACCATCATACCAGCACCAACACCAGCATCATCAGCATCATCATCATCAGCATCGTCATCATCATCAACATCATCATCGTCATCATCAGCATCATCATCATCGTCATCGTTATTCTTGTCATATTTACCAGTGTCCCTTTGTTTCCCCTTCCCCGTCATCTCGCTTCCCTCCTTTTCCCTGACGCTTGGACGACGATGACGACGTCGCGAGGAGGGGGCCCCCTTGGCGCCGCCCCTGGCTCCGCTCTGCGCGTCGGGGAGAGCGTGTGGGGAGGGGGCGGGTCTGGCGCCGACCCCAGAAAAAATCCCGCGCGTGCCTCCGAGAGGTCGTGCTCGTGCCGCCCTGTTGCCTGCAGCCAACCCGCATGTTAAGGATGAGCGACGCTCCCAGGTTCAAGTCGGGCGTGTCCCTCTACAGGAGGAATATTCAACAATAGCAACAACATAGTATGGGGACCATGTATCGACTATGTTTGAGCATGTGTTGAACATGCTTTGACTATTTTCAATGTTTGTCAGACATCCGCCTGCAGGGGGACGTGCCCGACCTAAGTCTCGTTGCTTGCAGCCAACCCGCATGTTAAGGATGAGCGACGTTCCCAGGTTACCCTTGCATCCTTCCCTTCCAGCCCATCCCTGGCAACTTTCGCCGGCCAGCCCCACTCGAAAATCGTCAGCCTGGCTTTCCAAGGCCCTTGCTGCGTGGGTTGGCTGTGCTCTGGACGACGGCCGTCTTCGCGAGGAGGGTGCCCTCGGGCGCGAGCACCCAGACACGGTCGCGTGCCGCCTGGACCTGGCGCAGCTCCTCGAGTGCAGGTCGTTCGGGGGAGCGGGGGGGGGGCAGCGCGAGCGGGCGGCAGGCGGGGAGAGGAAGGGGGAGAGGAGGCGAGGGGAGGCCAAGGATGAGGAGGAGGGGGGGGGGAGGGGGGGGAGGGGGCGGGGGAGGGGGGAGGGAGGAGGGGGGGGAGGAGGAGGGGGGGGGGAGGGGGAGGAGGAGAGGAGGAGGAGGAGGAGGAGGGAGGAGGAGGAGGAGGAGGAGGAGGAGGAGGAGGAGGAGGTCCAGGGCCTCGGCGGGGAAGTCTGGAGAGTGGTCGAGTAGGAGTTAGGAATTGTCGGGTGGGGGGTCGCAAGCACTGAGGCCCCAGGAGGCCAGGGTGTCGACGGAGGGAGAGCATGCTACGCATATAATGAAGTCAATGACAAAAACATAAACTGATTGGTCATGGTGAAGCGGCTACGATGCCCACCTGGAGGACCGCTATGATGCGAACCCGGCCCCGAACCGTCTTCAAGAATATGTTGAGGTCGAAGGCCTGTGATGACCTTCTTCCCAAAATTTGCTTTTCTGATGGTCTCGAATTGGGTGCGAGGTGCATATGATGGCACCTTTGTGTCCACCCCGTCCCACTCACAGGGGCTTCGCATCCCCCCATGATGGTGGGATGGGTGAGTGGTCCGCCTCCCCCTGCGCTGCACGTATGGCTGCTCAGCTTCGGACCCCTGATCCTCCCAGTCCTTGGAGCCAGTGAATTCTCTGATTCCGCATGCTGAATACAATGAAGAAATAGAATGCGAAGGCCTACGCTGACCTCCTTCCCAAAACGAACCTGTCTGATGGTCCCGAGTTGGGTGCGAGGTGCCTGTGATGGCCACTCCGGATGCCTATGATGGCGGGCACTAGATCACCAGCAGGGGATTGGGTCCCGTCCACGGTGCATAAGGGGAGAGCATGCTACCCATGTAATGAAGCAAATGAAAAAAAATGAATTGATTTGCCATGGTGAGGCGTCTATGGAGCTGGGACTGTTCGAGCTGGGACTTTTCGCATCGGGGGTCCCAACATGAGAGCCCCCAGGGAGGGGAGGTCCAGAACGTGGTCGATTTGGCGGGGGATCTAGAACGTGGTCGATTTGGAGCCAGGATCTGTCGGGTCGGGGACCCCAAGAAGACGAGAGGCCCCAGGGGGCCAGGGTGTCGGCGGGTGGTCTATACCTTGATCGATTTGGAGCCAGGAGTTGTCGGGTCGGGGGTCCCAAGAACAGAGGCCCCAGGGTGTCGGTGGGGGGATCTAGACCTTGATTGATTTGGAGCCAGGAATTGTCGGGTCGGGGGTCGCAACAGAAAAAATCCAGGGGGCCAGGGTGTCGGCGGGGGCGCCTAGAACACCGTCGACTTGGAGCCAGGAATTGTCGGGGCGGGGGTCCCAAGCACAGAGATCCAGAGGGATGGGTTGCCAAGGCCAGGTTGGGAGGTCCAGGTGGGGAGGCCCTGGTGGAGGGTCTGGATCAGAACTTGTCGGTTGGGGGGTCTCGAGCACGAAGGCAGACGAAGGTCCAGACGGGGTGGGGATGCTGTGGCCAGGTGAGATAGCAGAATGTCGGGGGGTCATGAGCAAACATTCGATTTAACCTCACACCTCTGGGGTCGGCGGTTATGATGCTCATGTCTGTGTCAGTCAAACCTCCTTGCTCGACAGCGATTGCCCTGGCATGGTGCGCGCGTGCTTTCAGCGGGGCTCGTCGCTGCAGCTGGATGCGGTTCGGAGAGCTGGTCAGGATGGTCCCAGGGCGTGTCCAGGAGCCGATCTTGAGCGCATTCTGGCCAGGAGGGGAGACTGGAAGTCACTGTTTCGAGGCGCGCGTGAGCATGGGGTCCTTGCCAGACCCCATCCCGCTGAGCGAACCCTGGACGCAGCTCGGACTACTCCGCGAAGAAGGACCACCTGCACAAGTAGAAGTCCTCGAAGGTCCGCGTGGATGTCTTGAGTCGGCGCTATACCCCCTGGCCGCGCCTCCAGCGCCGCCCTGGGCGCGCTCGTCCCCGGCGCCCTCCGCGCGCCAGCGGTGAAAGAAATCCACGCAGAACTCCGATCCTCGAGGTCACCCGCGGGGGCACGAAGATAATCACGCTTCGCGCGGCGTCGCGGTCCTGGCCAGAGCGGCTCTCCAAGGCGGCTGCGCGGAGCGCGCTGCGCGAAGTTAGGCGACCCAGGATCCTTGGCATCGCTCTGACGTGTACATTTTTTCTGCGAGGGCCATGGAGGAGCATCCTGGATCATCCTGCGAAGAAAACGCACGATACCGAAACATGCACGGGGAATGGACGTCCGAGCGATGGCAAAGATCTTCCCGGGGACCCTCGGGGATCTCGGCCCAGCCCTGGACGGGGCCCGCCGCCCCGGCCGCCGGGAGGGGCTCCAGGAGAGCTGCGCTTCGATCGGAGGCGACGATAGGGGCGAATAGCCCAGGGGGGGGAGCAATCCATGTATCCAGGTGCGCCGATGATCCATGTCTTCGGCAAAGCTCCCGGGCGAATGCGTGCAATGCCTGCCCCCGGGCTATTCGCCCCTATCGTCGCCGCCGACTCGAGCCTCGCGGCCTGGGCCTTGGACAGCGGCTGCCGTCCGGGGGGGCGGCGGGCGGCGCGGGAGCGCAGAGATGGCCTCGCCTCGCTACGCGCAGCGCGAAGCGCGAGGTCGGAGCCGAAATGGCCACGGAGCCGTCCGCCCCGTGGCCACTTCGGCTCCGCCTTTCGGCCCCGACCCTCGGCTCCAGCTGGGGCGGTTGAAAAAGGGCCTTGCCTTCGAGGATGCAAGGAGTGGCCATCCCTTCCGCGGCGGAAGGGGCGGCGGAAGGTTGCAGAGGTGACCAATGCGTCGCCAAGAGATGAAACCGCTGAAACGTTTTTGGGTTCAGGGTTTCCGAAGTCCGCCATCTCGGGCCGCGCAAGGAGGCCATCGACGCAGGGGCCCGTACTGCGCCGCCCCCCTTAGCAGCCAGTTGCCGGTTCGTCCGAGGCTGGTCTGCGTGGGGGGAGCGCGCGCGCGCCGGCACCGTTTTCTGATTTCTTCTGCGCATTGCCGTGGCGCAGGAAAAAAAACAAAAAAAATCGACGCAGGGGCCCGTAGCCACTTTGGGCTCCAGAGCCGGGGCTCGGGCGGGGAGCCTGCGCCGGCCCGCCGCGCGGCTGCGGAGCGTTGCCCGCCGCGTGCTGCCGCGCGCTGCTGGGCGCCGCTGCCCGCCGCGGCCGAGCGCTGCTCGCCGCGGCGCTGCCGAGCGCAGAGCGCCGAGCGCTGCAAGGCGGCCGCGCGCTGCGGGGCGCCGCCCGCCGCCCGCCGCCGAGCGCCGCGCGGCTGCCGAGGGCCTCGCGGTGGGGCGGGCGGCTGCCGAGCGCCGCCCCGCGGGCGGCCGCGCAGGGCGCGGGCCTGGCGCTCGGCGGGCGCGCCCCGCCGCGCCGCGGCCGCCCCCGGGGCGCCTCGGGGGCATGTCGCTTTTCGAGACGTCGTCGCTGCAGGAGGCGCTCGCGAGGCTCTGGGCCTCCCAGGTATAACTAGGGGCCGAGCAGATGGGGTCGGAGGATCGCACCGCATCGCCCGCGCGCCCGCGGCGATGCATTGGTGATGCGGCGCGATCCTCCGACCTCATCTACTCCGACCCCATCTGGGAGGGCTCTAGAGGCTTGACTCGGACCTGCCCGCCTCGAACGTCCAGGGCCTGGACGGCCTGCAGCAGTGGTTCCGAGACCCCCTGAACCTGGCGCGCTCCGAGGCGGTTCCGCAGACGTACCTGGCGATCGTGGGCGTGCTCATCAGGTTCATGAACCGGCAGATCCAGGCATTGCTCAAGACGACGGCCCGGAAGACCACCTTTCGCGCAGAGGGAGCGGTATTGCTCCTGAGCGCGGTGCGCTCCGCGCGCCAGGCTGGACACCGTCTGCCAAAGGCGGCCCTGAAGCTGTGGCAGCACATCGACGAGGTGCTGCGCAACGACTCTGTGGCACATCGCCAGCTGCAGGGGGTCATCACCACCTACTGTCGGATAGCCACCGAGCTCTCTCAGGGCGGCGAGCTGGGCTACACCTCGGAGCTCAGGGACGAGCTGCTGCGGCGGCTGTTCCGCGCCCTGCTGCAGCCGCGGCCCCTTGAGGCGCAGGCTGCCGCGCTCGACGCCGCTGTCCAGATCTGCCGTGGCGCCGTCGTGGACCTCAGCGGAGAGGTGCCGTTGCTCTGCCAGAGCCTAGCGGACTTAGTGCAGGGCCTCAGCGACCGCAACCGCAACGCGGTACCTCTGGTAAGCTGCCTCGCTGCCGTGGCAATGAGAAGCCCGTTTGCCTTCCGGGACTGGGTCTTCGGTGAGGGCCGCGCGGAGCTGCTGGCCGGGCTGGCCCTTCGGCTGTGGTCCACCAAGACCTTCGAGGGCCTGGGCTTGGTCCTGCGCCTTGCCCTCGGCTTCCAGGCGCCCCTGCCCCCCGCAAAGGCCGACGAGCTCATCCCCATCGTGCTGGACACTCTCGAGTCCCTGTCGCGGTCCGGCGACCGCGGAGACCCGCTGGCGGCCGACACGCTCTGGGAGGTGCCGCACAGCGACATGGCCGGGATGGCTGACCTTCTCGCCGCGCTGCTGATGCGTGCGGAGGGCTCCGCGCAGGCGGCCACGCACCGCCTCTGCAAGAAGCTCGAGCACCGCTGCGTGCCGTGGGCCCTGTGCGCAGTGCGGCTGTGCGAGGCTCACGCGGGCTCCGCGCAGCACAGCGGGATCGGCGACGCTGAGTTGCTGCAGCTCGTCGCTGCTCTGGGCAGGCAGCTGGAGCTGCTGGCGCTCGACGCGCGGCCCACGGCGGAGGTGCTCCCGGCGGTCCACCTCGCCCTGGCTGCAGCACTGACCGCCCATGCCTGGACGCGGCTGTGGCCCGCAGGCGTGGGGCTGCCTCCTGTCGCGGTGCCGCTGAGCTCCCTGTGCGGGGACGCGCTCCTGCTCTCGGCCGCTCCAGGCCTGGCCTCGCTGCCGCCTCTCGAGCCGGCCGCTGGCCAGGAGTGCGCGGAGTGGGCGCGCTGGGAGCACGCCCTCGCGAAGCACGCGGCCAGCTCTCTGTCTGCCGGGCTGGCCCCACGTGGCCTGCGCCAGCTGCTCGGGGTGCTCTTGGTCACTGCGCCGTGGAGCGCCGCCGAGGAAGTGCGGTGCGCGCTGCTGCGGCAGGCCGCCCAGGCTCCTGCGGCGATCGCGAGCCAGCCCGGTGCCTTGGCGGGGGGCTGCCTGTGCGCCGCGCTCAGGCGGCAGCGGCCCGACGCGAGCGCCCACCGCGAGCTCTTCCAGAGGGTCTCTGCCGAGGGCGCGGACGTCCGCGTGGCTTTCTTGGCACTCAGCGCCACCGACGGCCTGGAGGCCCGAGCCGAGCCGCCCCCGGCCGCAGCTCCGGACTGGGGAGACGACGGCCTGTGCGTCGTAGCCGCAGAGGAAGCGCCGTGCTGCGCCGAGGTGAGGAGGGTGTGGCGAGAGCGGGACGCGGCCGCGCGGGGGCAGCTCGAGGCGCAGCGGCTGGCCGCCGCGCTGGACGCTGGCCACTCGGGTCCGGGAGAGGCTCTCGTCGAGGAGCTCCGCCTGCACGGAGCCACGCGGGCCGCATCTTTCCGCGAGCCCCTGGGGACCAGCTCGCTGAGCAGCGTGGACCCAGACTCGGCAGGGAGCTCTCGGGCGCCCCTGGCGCCCCTCGCGGAGACGTCGAAGACCGCTGCCGTCTTCGAGGCTGCACTGCAGCTGTATTTCGAGCACGCGGACGCCTTCGTGTCCGCCTGGCAGAACGACTCGGCCACGGCCCTGCCGCTCGCGGCCCAGCTTCTGCCCACCATGAGCGTGGCGCTGCGGCTGCCCCGCGAGGCGGGCGCGGCGCGCGATGTCTTCTGCCCGTCCTTGCTCTGCCTGCTGGACCTCGCGTGCCAGATCCTGCAGGGTCAGTCACCCAGCTCTCAGAGGGCTGGCGCCGTCCTCGACGCCCTCGGCGACCTCCTCCGGCTGGCGGCGGCCCTTGCCCGCCTGGACGCGGGCGGAGGCGGCGTGCTCTCCGGCGAGGGGGTGGAGCCGAGGTGCACGGCGCTGGCGCAGGCCATCCGCCAAGCCTGGCTGGGCGCCTGCTCGCCCAGTGGCGGCCCAGGCCATCGCCGTGCGGAGGGGCCGGACCTCTTCGACGGCGGGGAGCCGCGAGAGCGCCGCAGGGAGTCCGGCGCCCGGCGTGGGGGCGCGGAGCTCCAGCGCTCATCTGGCCTCCGGCTGCTGCTGGCCCTGGCGTGCGCCGAGGCCGCCCGCGACGGCAAGGGCGGGCCCACGGGCGAGGTCGGCCACGCGCAGAGGGGGGCACGGGGAGGGGGGAAGGCTTCTTAGAAGCACCCCTGCTTCTCAGAAGCGCGCGGGCCTTGACTGCATGGATGCAGGGCTGGCGCCTTCTTAGAAGCAGCCTCCTGCTAAGAAGCCTTCCCCCTTCCCACCCGCTGTGCGCGCCGCCAACGAGGGGCGGGACGGCCCGCTGCAGGTGCTGCGAGGGCTCCTGGTGGACCGCGCCAGGGCCGAGCCTGCCGCGGCCGTGCACGCCCTCGGCCTGGTGGCGTGGGAGCTGGCGAGCTGCGCGGCGGGACGGGTCGGCTGCCCCGCGCACGTGCTCGCCGCCGTCGCCGAGTGTTGGAGCGCGGTGGACAGGCCGCTGGTGTCTCACCAGCTCGACGAGATGCTGCTGTGCGCGCTACGGCTCGTGGCCGCCTCCGCCCAGGTCGGTCGCGAGGCGCTGCAGGCAGTTTGCCACCGCCTGTGGATCGGCACCGGGACGGCCGAGGCGAGGCTCGCGGCTCTGTCTCGCCAGGTCTGCAGGGACATGGCCCTCGTGAGCCCTCAGGGGAAGCAGAGCTTCGCGGCCCTGCTGACCAGCTGCTTCAGGCTGCTGAGGGGCCTCCCCGATTTCGCCCCGACTGTGGACCTGCTTGCGGAGTGCTGCATGAACACGATCCCCGACATGATCCTGAAGGATGAGAGCTGCGAGGTGCGGCTATGCGTCGGTTCCATGTTCACCAGGGCCCTCTTCGAGTTCTTCCAGCCCGAGGCTGTCATGGAAGAGTTCGCCCCCGCGCTCCAGTCTCTGGAAGGTGGTGGAGCGACCTCAGGCGGTCACGCCACGTCTGAAGCGTTGGCAACGGTGCGCGTCATGCTTGAGGTGGCGTCCGTGGATGGCCACATGCCCCGAGTCCTGCCTCGCCTTTGCGCCCTGCCCCGCCGCCTGCGGCCCACCGTGCGTCTGGCGCTGCGGGCCCTGGACGAGCCACTGGGCCCCTGCGCGGACGGCGGGGCGTCGTGGACCGCGCTCGCCTTCCGCGCCGGCATCTTCGCGGCGCTTTTGCGGCACGGGCAGTCGTTGGCAGAGTTGCAGCTGGAGGAGCTCTTGCTGGCGCTGCCGCGCGTGGGCCAGAGAACGGGCATCGACCAGCATCTCTCGGCTGCTGTTGCCGCGTTGGCGCTGTGTGATCAGACTGGCCAACTGCCACAGCTGGCGCAGGCGATCGGCGTCCAGGCTGGCTCCCCGCTGTTCAACGTGAAGATCTTAGTGCCCCTGGCGGGGACGCTGATCCCGCTGCAGCGGAGCCTGGAGCCGCTGCAAAGACTCTTCAACCAAGAGAGGTGGCTCGTGAACAGCTGTTCCAAGTTGGCCGCCAATATTTTTGCATTCGCCATGCAGCTGCCATTTCTCACTCTGGGCCTGGGCTGCGATATGGACGCCCGAATGGTTGCGAAGGCCTTCGCGGAGGTGCACCCCGATCTTCCTTGGGCGAGGTTTCGCGAATTCGTGGACCAGCATTTTCGCCTGCTCTGCGCGCAGCTTGACCGCATCTTGCACGCGTGGGCACGTTGGGCACCCGCCACGGCAGTAGATCTGTTGAGGACGTTCGCGGACTGGCTGGCCCCCCTGAACGGCAGCCGATTGCGGCTGTTCTTGCCGCTGCTGCGGAGGCAAGCTCAGCGGTTGCCTCCGACGCACTCAAAGGCGATCACCGTCGTGCTGGAGTCGGTGGTAGGCGCGAGCGCTGATGACGCGCTGATCCGTTTGGCAGCACACCGCGACGAGTCCCTCGTGGAGTCCGTGCGGGACGCCGAGCGCCGGTGGTCTGTGCGGTCGCCCGCCTGCGGGGCCGCCGCCTGCTGCCCAGCGCTGGGCACGCTGCGGGCGGCGATGCGCCGCCTGCGCCACGCCCCAGGGGATGCGGGTGGCGGCCCGGCAGACTGGCTGTTCCTGCAGGTGGAGTCCATGCTGCCACGGCTGAGGCCGGCGGCGCAGGAGCTGCTCGCGGAGGCGGCGGGCCTCGGCGCCGCGCAAGACGGCAGCGGGCGCCCAGTCAAGAGGCAGCGCCTGGCCCGTGGCGACAGCCCCTTTTCTGCGGTGGCGGTGCTGCATCCCCTGGGGTGCGGGAGCCTCGCGTGGGGTGCGCCCCTGGGCCGCGACCTTGGCGCCGTGGCGTGCTGCGCCGCCGCCGCGGCCGAGGCCGCCGCCACAGCCAGCGCGGCAGGCACAAAGGCCGGCGCGGGGCTGGCGCGAGTGCTGCACTGCGCGCTGCGGCCGCAGGCGGCCGAGCAGATGGCGCGGGACTGGTCGCTAGCACGGTCAGTCGCCCTCAGCGTGGCCGTTGCGGACCTGGCTGATGTGCTGCAGCTGGGCCTCGAGCCTGAAGGTGAGGCACTGGACGGCTTCGCCTTCGTCGACGCACTGGTGCGGGAGGAGGGCGCGCAGCCCACAGTCGACGAGCTCCTCTGTTGTGGCGCGCTGGTCGGTGCCAGTCAGTTGCAGGTCCACCAGTCTGCCGCTGTGCGGCGTTGCGCTCTCGTCGCGCTGCACGAGCTGCACCGGCAGCAGCCGCAGCTCTTCGACCAGGCGCGCAGGCTGCTGCACGGCGTGCTGGATCCGCGGCACCTCTGCCTCGAGGACCTCGGCATCCCTATTCCGGAGCACTTCGTCTCTCGCCACGGGGAGCCAGGTAGCGAGCGGCCGGAGCATGGTTGGCCGCTGTTTCACGAGCAGGCGGGCGGCGACTACTCCACGTGGGTGCGGGACGTGACTGCCCAGATGATGGCCCTCGGGGCTGGCGTGGGGGACGCTGGGTCCTTGGGGGTGCTGGCTGCCAGCGTGCCCTTGGCCCAGAGCGTGGACTGGTTCGCCGAGGGCATGCTGGTCCTGGTGGTGCTGAAGGCGGCGGACTCGAGCGGGGCCAGCAAGCAGACGTTGGCAGAGGCGCTGAATGGGCTGTTCAGGCAGAAGAACGCAGAGATGTCCCGGCTGCGAGCCATGATCCTCTCTCTTCGCTACGTTCGCCTGTACCAGACGGTCAGGGAGCGGCGGGTGGTTCCGCACTTCCCGATGGACAGCGGCGACGGGTTTTGGTCCGCTCTGGACCTGCTCGCCGTGGCGGACTCCGCCTCGCGCGTGGGCTGTGCGCTCGATGGCCTGCTCTATCTCGAGCTGCACCTCTCCAGGGCCAGGCCGAACGAGCCCATCGACCAGACGCTGCTTCTGGACGAGGCGCAGCTCCGTGTGGACCAGCTGTTCTCCCCGCCCGCGCCCGAGGTGCGGGTGCTGCACCGGCTGGCCCAGCAGCTGCCCGACGACGAGCTCCTGCACGGCGTGTCCCAGTGGTGCCACCCGACCTCGCGGGCGGTGCGCGCCGAGCTGGGCAACGACCACCTCGGCACCCTCTACCTGCGCAGCGAGCTGCGCGGGGCGGCGCTCCGCTCCCCGAGGCCCCCACCCCTGCCCACGGCTCCGGGCGCGCCGGCCGCCGACGAGGACGACGTGGGCGTCGGCCTGCAGGACGCCCTGGCGAGACTTGGCCTCCACAGTGTCCTCGCGAGCGCAGCGCCCCCGGTCGAGGCGGGCGCCGCTGCCTGGGAGCGTCGCATGGAGAGCCTGTGGAGGCTGCGTCAGTGGGGCCCCGTCTCCGCGCCCGGGTCGGAGGGCTTCCAGGTCGGGATCCACAGCGCGCTCTCCGGCATCGCCGAGGCGGCCTCGCCTTCGCGCGGCGTCGCGGCCACGGCCACGGCTGCCCTGGAGCGCCCGTTGTTGTCGCTTGTGGCGCAGGTTGCCGCGAGCGTGCACGCCGGCTCTCCCGAGCAGCTTCGCCTGGGCTCCGTACGCTTGGGGATGCTGGGCTCCGTCTTCGGCGCGCTGGACGCCAAGGCAAAGGACGCATCCCAGGGGGACGCGGCAGCGTCGAGCGCCCTCTCGGCACGATGGGTGGCTGCAGCTGGCCGCGCGTTGCCAGCACGGCACTTCTTGCTGCTGGAGCCGCTGCACGCTCTGCGGGCCACGCTGCTCTCGCTGGTTGCCGCGCCCGAGCAGGAGCAGAGGTTCCTCGTCCGCGCTGCGGCGGCGGCCCGCGCTGCGGCGCAGCCGCACCGAGCCCTGGGGCTGCTGGAGCAGGCGCACCGCGTCCGAGGGCGCTCGCAGCAGCGCCTGGAGGCGCTGAAGCTGCACTGGGAGCGGGCCCAGTGCCTCTGGGCACTGCAGCAGCAGCAAGAGGCGGTCAGCATCGCGCGGGCCATCTCCACGGAGTGCTGGCAGCAGCCGCCGGAGGGCAGGCGCGAGCAGAGCTGGGCTGCCAGCGTGGTCAGTGAGACGGGGCACTGGCTGTCGGTGTCTCGGCTGGAGGGCCCAGACGTGATCCAGAGCCAGTACCTGGAGCGGGCAGCGGCCATGGACCCGACGGGTTCACAGCCCCGGAGGCAGTTGGCGGACTTCCTCGACGCTCGCTTCTCTGACGAGCTCGCAAGGCAAAGCTCCCTGGAGCACACCATCGCCAAGGACTTGCGCAAGGTGACCGAAGCGCAGATGAAGGCGGTGCAGGAGAAGGTCCAGGAGCTGGAGCGCAGCCCAGCTGCGTCCTCTCAAGCAGACGCAGGGGTCATGAGGCACGAGTTGGCGAAGCTCCAGCTGCTAGTGGCCCAAGACCAGGGAAAAGCCGACAGCGAGACGAAGCAGCTTCATAATCTCGCTATTGGCTGCGTGACAGAGCTTAGCAAGTGTCTCGCGGAGAGCACCTCAGGCAACTTAACGAAAGTGGCTTGTCGCCTGCTCTCGCTTTGGTTCCACTGCAAGAGCGAGTATCCCGAGGTCACCGACGTGGTGCGCAAAGCGATCCCGCGGCTCGCGCTGGGGCATCTGAACCCATTCATTTACCAGCTGGCCTCCCGGCTGGACGTGCAGGACGGGCCCTTCCAGGATACCTTGGACGAGCTGCTGGTGAGACTGGCGACGCACAGCGCCCACGCCCTGTGGCCGCTGTTGCTGCTCCGCAACGGTGACCAGGTGAAGGGCATGAAGGGCGCGGGCTGCTTCCAGTCCGACGCCGCGAAGATAGAGGCTGCCAAGCGCGTGCTTCACCGGCTGCGCCAGAACCCGCAGGTCCGCTTGAGGATGGAGGCGTACGAGCTCATGACCAAGTTCTACTTGGAGGTCGCCTACTGCGACATCCCGCCGACCGAAAAGCACAAGGAGTTCATCCTGACCGGCTTCGGCAGCTATAAGGACGCCCGCGGGATTTTCACCCAGGTGCCAGTCCCAACGATTGCCCCAAGCAGCGACGGCACCCCGGTGCCATGCATCAAAGATTTCGAGGAGACTTTCAGAGTCGCCCAGCAAGGCGTCACGCTGCCGCGGATACTGCGCGTGGTGGACACGACGGGCATTGTGCACAAGCAGCTGGTTAAGGGCAGGGACGACATCAGGCAAGACGCAGTCATGCAGCAGGTGTTCCGGCTCCTGAACGACGTCTTCATGGACACCTCCGTGGCGAGGGAGAGTGGTGGAGCAGCAAACAATTTGCGGCTCCGCACCTACCAGGTGTCAGGCGGGGAAAAACATAACTAATCGTCGACTCCCAGGAAAATATGAAAAAATATGGGTAGTGGGGGGGAAGACGAAAACCCCAAACATATTGGAAAAAGTGGGGAATCCTGGGAATTGTGTGTATTATATACATATATACATTGCCCCAGCAACCGGGGTTCCCAGTTCGCGCCGGCGCCGAAGACGGTATTTGAAGACGCTATTCCCTGTGACATCGCGTCCCTGTGAAGACGCTGTTCCTTGTGAAGACGCTATTCCCGGTGAAGACGGTGAAGACGCTATTCCGGGTGAAGACGCTATTCCCTGTGAAGACGCTATTCCCAGTGAAGCCGGTGAAGACGCTATTCCGTGTGAAGACGCTATTCGAACCGGGTGGAGTACTCCCGGTGAAGAAGCGTTCTGCGGACAAAGACAGCACTTCCCTTATGAAAACGCTATTATTCCTGAAAGCGCTATTCCGGGTGAAGACGCTATTCGCTGAGAAGACGCTATTCCGGGTGAAGACGCTATCCCCCGTGAAGACGCTATACCGGGTGAAGACGCTATTTCGGGTGAAGATGTTATTCCCGGTGAAGACGCTGTTCCCAGTGAAGACGGTATTCCTGGTGAGAAGTCTGTGAAGACGCTATACGGGTGAAGACGCTATTCCCGGTGAAGACTCTATTCCCTGTGAAGACGCTCTTCCAAGTGAAGACGCTGTTCCCGGTAAAGACGCTATTATTCCAGTGAAGTCGACGCTATTCCGGGTGAAGACGCTATTCCCGGTGAAGACGATGTTCCCGGTGAAGATGCTATTCCGGGTGAAGACGCTGTTCCCGGTGAAGACGCTATCCCTGGTGAAGACTCTATTCCCGGTAAAGACGCTATTATTCCAGTGAAGACGCTATTCCGGGTGAAGACGCTATTCCCGGTGAAGACGATGTTCCCGGTGAAGACGATGTTCCCGGTGAAGACGCTCTTCCCGGTGAAGACGCTATCCCCGGTGAAGACGCTATTCCGGGTGAAAACGCTATCCCCCGTGAAGACGCTATACCGGTTGAAGACGCTATTCCCGGTGAAGACGCCGGGTGACGTTATTCGGGGTGAAGACGCTATTCCGGGTGAAGACGCTATTCCGGGTGAAGACGCTGTTCCCGGTGAAGACGCTATTCCCGGTGAGTACGCTAAAGACGCTATTCCCGGTGAAGACGCTACTTCTTGTGAAAATGCTCCTTCTCTTCACCATGGCCAGTATTCAACGTGCTCTCCTTCCAATTTTAACTTGAAAGTGCCTTTTTACTCCACGCGCTCCGTGCCTAACACAATGTGTGCCCTATCTGCTGTGCGACACACTCTGCTAGGCAAGACCCTTCCCCAAGTTGATGAAAAAAGAATCGCTAGACATGCCCCATCTGCTGTGCAACACCCCCTCTTCTGGGCAAGACCCCTACAGGAGAACCCCTCCCCAACTTGACTAAAAAAGAATATTTGGTGCTTGACGTGCCCCATCTGCTGTGCGGCACCCTCTTCTAGGCAGGACCCCTCCCCAAGTTGATAAAACAAGCCCTTGATGTTAGACGTGCCCCATGTGCTGCGCGGCGCCCTATGCTAGGCAAGACCCCTCCCCAAGTTGATAAAAAAAGAAGCCTTGGTGCTAGATGTGCCCCTTTGCTATGCGGCACCCTCTGCTAGGCAAGACCCACCCCTTGTTGATTAAAAGACAACCCTTGGTACTAGACGTGCCCCATCTGCTGTGTGGCACCTTCTGGTAGGCAATGGCCCTCCCCAAGTTGCTTTAAAAAGAATACTTGGTGCTAGACGTGCCCCATCTGCTGCGCGGCACCCTTTGCTAGGCAAGATCCCTCCCCAAGTTGATTTGAAAAGAATCCTAGACGTGCCCCATCTGCTGTGAGGCACCCTTTGTTGGGCAATGGCCCTCACAAAGTTGGTTCAGCAAAATCCGTGGTGCTTGACGTGCCCCATCTGCTGAACGGCACCTTCTGCTAGGCAAGACCCCTCCCCAAGTTGATTTAAAAAGAAGCCTTGGTGCTAGACGTGCCCCATCTGCTGTGTGGCACCCTTTGTTAGGCAATGGCCCTCCCCAGTTGATTCAAAAAAAGAATCCTTGGTGCTAGGCGTGCCCCAACTGTTGTGCGGCACCTTCTGCTAGGCAAGACCCTTCCCCAAGTTGATGAAAAAAGAATCCTTGGTGCTAGATGTGCCCCTTTACTGTGCGGCAGCCTCTCCAAGGTGAGGCCCTTTGCTGCGCGGCACCTTCTGCTAGGCAAGACCCTTCCCCAAGGTAATTAAAACATAATCCCTGGTGCTAGACATGCCGTTTTGCAGTGCGGCACCTTTGGTAGGCAAGACCCCTCGCGAAGTTGATTCAAAAAAGAATCCTTGGTGCTGGACATGCCCCTTTGCTGTGTGGCACCCTCTGATAGGCAAGAGCCCTTCCCAAATTGATTTAACAAGAATCATTGGTGCTAGGCGTGCCTCATCTGTTGTGCGGCACCTTCTGCTAGGCAAGACCCCTCCCCAAGTTGATGTACAAAGAACCCTTGGTGCTAGATGTGCCCCTTTGCTGTGCGGCAGCCTCTCCAAGGTGAGCCCCTTTGCTGCGCGGCACCTTCTGCTAGGCAAGAGCCCTTCCCCAAGTTAACTAAGACAGAATCCTTGGTGCTAGACATGCCTTCTGCTGTGCGGCACCGTATGCCAGGCAAGACCCCTCGCCAAGTTGATTAAAAAAGAATATTTGGTGCTGGACATACCCCTTTGCTGTGCGGCACCCTTTGATAGGCAAGAGCCCTTCCCAAGTTCATTAAAAAAGAATCATTTAAAAAAGAAAGCCCGGTGAGCCCCTGGCGCCTCCTGGGGCCTCTCGGAGCTCACCGGGGCTTCCTGGGGCCTCCTGGTGCTTTCTGGGACTGTCTTGGCCCCTCCAGGTGCCTCCTGGAGCTGTCTTGGCCTTCTCCCGGGGCGCGAATCCTTTGTGTTAAACGCATGTGCCAATAGATTGGCCTTCTCTTGGGGCGCGAGTCCATTGTGTGTTCACACACGTGCCTATAGATTGGCCTACTCTTGGGGCACGAATGTTTAGTGTTTTACGTGCGTGCTTATATATTGGCCGTGCCATGGAACGCGAATCCTTAGCGTGTTACGTGATGCCTAGAGATTTGCCTTCTTCTGGGGCGCGAATCCTTTGTGTCTTACACATGTGCGTATAGGTTGGCCCTCTCCTGGGGCACGAATCCTTTGTGTTTCGCGCGTATGCCTTTAGATAGGCCCTTTCCAGGGGTGCGAGTCTTTCGTGTTTTACGCATTTTCTTACAGATTTGCTTTTCCCTGGGGCACGAGCCCTGCGTGTTTTACGTATGCGCCTATGAATTTGCCCTCTCCTCTGACACGAACCTTTCGTGCCTTACGCATGTACGTATAGATTCGCCCTCTCCTGGAGCACGAATCCTTCGTGTCTTACGTGTGTGCATATAGATTGGCCTTCCCCTTGGGCACGAATCCTTTTGTGTTTAACGTATGTGCCACTAGATCGGCCTTCTCTTGGAACATGAATCCTCTTAGCAATCCTCTTAGCGTTTTACGTATGTGCCTATAGATTGACCCTCTCCTAGGGCGCGAATCGTTCGTGCTTCACGTGCGTGCTGATAGAGTGGTGGTATCATGGGGGACGAATCCTTAGCGTGATTGGCCCTCTCCTGGGGCACGATCCCTTTCCAGGGGCACGAATCTTTCGCGTTTTACGTAATTGCTTATAGATTTGCCCTCCCCTGGGGCACGAACCCTGCGAAGTGTCACGAGCTTCACCGGGCGTCAGGGGAATAGAGGCTTCAGGCCGAATAGAGGTTTCACGAGCTTCACTGGGCGTCGGGGGAATAGAGGCTCGAATAGAGGCGCCACGAGCTTCACCGGGCGCCAGGGGAATAGAGGCTTCACGAGCTTGACCGGGCGTCAAGGGAATAGAGGCTTCAGGCCGAATAGAGGCGTCACGAGCTCCACCGGGCGCCAGGGAAATAGAGGCTTCAGGCAGAATAGAAGGCTTCACGAGCTTCACCGGGCGCCAGGGGAATAGAGGCTTCAGGCCGAACAGAGGCTTCACGTTCACGAGCTTCAATGGGCGTCAGGGGAAGGAGGCTTCAGGCCGAATAGAGGCTTCACGAGCTTCACCGGGAGTCAGGGGAATAGAGGCTTCAGGCCGAACAGAGGCTTCACGAGCTTCACCGGGCGCCAGGGGAATAGAGGCTTCAGGCCGAACGGAGGCTTCACGAGCTTCACCGGGCGTCAGGGGAATAGAGGCTTCAGGCCGAATAGAGGTGTCACGAGCTTCACTGGGCGTTAGGGGAATAGAGGCTTCAGACCGAATAGAGGCTTCACGAGCTTCAATGGGCATCAGGGGGTTACAGGGTTCAGGCCGAATGGGCGCGTTGAGGGTCGCTACCCCACCAGCGTGTCGCAATTCGTAGGCCGAATAGAGACGTCACGAGTCGAATAGAGGCTTCAGGCCGAATAGAGGCTTCAGACCGAATAGAGGCTTCACGAGCTTCAATGGGTGTCAACGGAATAGAGGTTTCAGGCCGAACAGAGGCGTCACGAGCTTCACCAGGCGTCAGCGGAATAGAGGCGTCACCGCAGCTCCTTGGGGGAATAGCGTCTTCAAATAGCGTCTTCGGCGCCGGCTCGAACTGGGACCACATACATACATACATACATACATACATACATACATACATACATGCATACAAACAAACAAACATATATATATATATATGTGTGTGTGTGTGTGTGTGTCCCTGGGCCCCTGTAAGGTGGTCCCCCTCGCGCCATCCGCTGGCATTATGGAGTGGGTCGTCCCAACAGCCACGCTGGGGGAGCTGCTCACGGGCAACCGAAACCCTGCCGAGGGCGCGCACCATCGCTACCGCCCAGACGACTGGCCGGGGCACAGATGCCGCAAGCACATGGACGAAGCGCGCAAAGCGTTCAGTTCTGGCCAGCCGTCGGCCGTCCTGGAGGGGGCGCTGCTCGAGTGCTACGCGAACTTCAGGCCCGTGATGAACCTCCTCTTCATGGAGCGATTCCCGTCTCCTGCTAGCTGGCACAACGCCAGGCAGCACTTCGCCAGATCGGTGGCGGTGAGCTCCATGGTGGGATACATATTGGGCATCGGCGACCGCCACCCGAACAACATCCTGTTCGACACGAGGACGGGCGAGCTGGTGCATATCGACTTCGGGATGACCTTCGAGGCCGGCCGGATGATGCGGCCCCCGGAGCTGATGCCGTTTCGCCTGACCCGCGACATGATTGCCGGGCTGGGCTGCACGGGGACCAGTGGCCGCTTCAGGCGGTGCTGCGAGGCCTCCATGCAGAGGCTCCGCGACAGCGCCGCCCTGGTCAACGCCGTGGCGGACGTCTTCGTTCACGACCCCACCTACCAGTCGGGGGTTGCCAAAGGTGTCCCTGGCCCACGGCGTCCCCAGCTTGTGCGCTCCGTCCTGGAGCCCTGGGGCCCTGTGGGCCTCGTGAGGGGTGCTCTGGAGGCTGCGGGGGCCTCGCTGTAAGTCCTGGGGCCACGTTCCCAGAACTCCGACGTCGTCTCTTGTCGCAACGTGGACCCCCAGTGGTCTGGACCCCTTCCCCAGGACTCGATTGTCACCCCGAATCGTGTTTTGACGGCCTGGGGCCTGGTCGGGCCCCCCCGAGGCCGAAGATAGCGAAACACATGCCGTCGCGTTGTTTCACGGCGCGAGGGGCTCTGGGGTGAGCCAAGGACACTCCTGGCAACACCCGGGCCAGTGGCGCCTGGCGGCCCAGCGCGTGCAGTCCCGCCAGCAGGTCAGTGTCGTCCAACCGATCTCCACCCCACTGGGCCCGGGTACCTCAGAGCCCCCAAAGGCGCCCCCCCTCGGGTGGTGATCCGTCCCCCGAAACCCGAAGGGAACAGCACGTATACCCACCTAGGGGGTTGCGGTCGGGAGTTTTGGCTCAGCGTGTCGCTTCGCCGGTTCTGGTCCACGCTTCGGCGCGACACGCTATCCACGTCCCTGTCCCCGAGCGTCAACGTCCCGAGCCTTTCCCAGCCTCCGGCCCCAGGGAGCGGAGCTACACACTAACCGCTTGCAGGGCATAGCGTGTCGCCGGGGCCGCTGCCGCGGCACGCTAAGTAAGAGTCCCCGACCGTAAGTCGGCCAGTGGGGCCAAGGCCATGCCGCTGGCAGCTTAGCTGCCCTGAGACGCCCGCGCTGAAACGCAATACGTACCGTGTTCGAAACGTTCGCGTGAACACGCCGCGTGTTGGCTCGGCACGTTTTGGCGCACGTGTCGCGCCAGACCCGTGTGTTCAGTCTGCGTGTTGAGCCCCGTGTCAACACGCCACGTCTTGCGTCTTGCATGTCGGGGTAGCTCCGGTGGCGATGTGGATCGTTACGTTGCATCTTCGGGGCACCTCGCCTGTCCCCCAAATTGGTGTCTTTTGTTGTACCCGACGCGGGCTCGATGCGGACTCGACGCGGATTTGGCGTGGATTCGACGCGGATTCGACGCGGATTCGGCACGGATCCGACGAGGCCGACACGGACTCGACATGGGTCCGGCGCGAATGGGGCCGCGACAGGACGGACGAGGTCCCCCTGAGGAGGCAGCAGAAGCGTCGGCGAAACGGTGCTCCGCAGGGCACCCCGCCGCCCTCGGAAGCCTCCGAGCTGTGCGGCGGCGGGCCCGACGCGCCCAGCGTGGCGCGCCAGCTCGCCGGGGGCGGCGGGGCGGGCGGCGCGGAGGGCAGCGAGATGGCGAGGCCGCTGCTCGTCCTCGTCCTCCTCCTCCTCCTCCTCCTACTCCTCCTCCGCCTCCTCCTCCTTCTCTTCGTCCTCCTCCTCCTCCTCCTTTCCTTTTTTTTCAGCGCACGGTGAGGTCTCCCGAGCGCTGGGCACTCACCCACTATCTGGCTTCTGTTGCTTATCCGGGTTCCGCAGGCGGCGAATGTGGCACAAGGGGCCTCATTCTGAAAAGGACCCCAGCGCCACGCTGCGGGAGCCCGATTTGCACAGACAGACCTCAACGGTCACGTCGTCTCCTCCCTCCTCTCCATGCCTTTTCCTTACAAATAACTCCTCCCCGTCGCGCCCCCAGACGTGTCGGTGGGGCGGGCCATGCGTTTCGCCTGAGACTTCCGCTCCATCTATGATCTTGAAGCTTGACCTTTGCAACATATTCAGGTGGCATACGCCGTTGCGCCGACCCCCACAAGGAGTGAGTGTTTGGGACGATCGTGAGCCTCCTGGGAGAATCTGAGGGTTTCTCAGGATGCCTCTTAGGGGCCTCTTGGAATATCTTGGGGGCATGCGGGAGGCTTGGGGCCTCGTGGGGGCCTCCGAGGGGGCTGCCTGGGGGGGTGGAGTTTTGTTTCATCCGCTTTTGTTTCGTCCGCTTTTGTTTCGTCCGCTGTTGTTTCGTCCGCTTTTGTTTCACCCGCTTTTGTTTCGTCCGTCTTTTGTTTCGTCCGTCTTTTGTTTCGTCCGCTTTTGTTTCATCCGTCTTTTGTTTCGTCCGCTTTTGTTTCGTCCGCTTTTGTTTCGTCCGCTGTGTTTTGCGTGATTCGTGTGGAAGCTGGGGGGATAAAACAGGATGAATTGAAACCGGACGAATTAAAACCAGATGAGTTCAAACCGGACGGATTAAAACCGGATGAATTCAAACGGGACGGATTCAAACCGGATGAATTTAAACGGCGAATTAAAACCGGATGAATTTAAACCGGACGAATGAAAGCCGGATGAATTTCAACGGATGAATGAGAACCGGATGAATTCAAACCGGACGAATTAAAACCAGATTAGCTTAAACCGGACGCGTAAAAGCACATGGATCCAGCTCTGGGCAACCATGTTAGATACCCCTTGGGTGGCCTGGACACGTAAAAACACATGGTGCCAGCTCGGGACAACCATGTCAGATACACCCCTGGGTGGCCTGGACAATTCAAAACCATGGTCCTTGCTCGGGACAACCATGCTAGATACCCCCCGGGGTGGCCTGGACACGTACAATCACGTCGTTCCAGCTTGGGACAACCATGTTAGATGCACCCCTGAGTGGCCTGGACACGTTGAAACATGCGGTCCTTGCTCGGGACAATCATGTTAGATACCCCCCTGGGTGGCCTCGAGACGTAAAAACACGTGGTTCCAGTTTGGGGCAATCATACTAGTTACCCCATTGGGCGGCCTGGACACGTACAAACACGTGGTTCCAGCTCGGGACAACCATGTTAGATACCCCCCTGGGTGTCCTGGGACCTCGTGGGGCCTCCTGGAGAGGGCCAGTCTACAGACACATATGTAAAAACACACGGATTCGTGTCCCTGGAGAGGGCCGGTCCGTGGAAGCACATGAAAACACACGGACGTGTGCCCCTTGCCCAAATGTCCCGCACCTTATGATTTATCGATCGGGATTTCAAACACCAGCGTTTCGCTAGAGACCTTCTCAATTCTTCCACGCCGAATGGGACTTGACTTCGTTCTTTATAGCCGATAATATCGCCGGCCGAAGCCAGGGGAAACAAAACGATACTAAAAAAAGAACTTTGGGCCCGCGCCCTTTCCGGGAACATGATCGACCCACGAACCCGGAAAGGATGGTAGAAATGTAAGGCATGGCAACGTTTTCAATACACTTGAGTAGGCGACGGGCAAAAACAATGCTGAGTCTATCGATTTTGATGTACCGTGCCGAGGGCTGTGCTGTGCTGCGCCATGCTGAATTGCGATGTGCCATGCCGCGATTGTGCTCTATGGCGTTGTGGGTCGAGTCCTCCTTTGCATCCGAGTCCTGACCGAACTGATCTGGATCTTGAGCTCAAGCTGCCTGAGCACATAGTAGCTGCACCAGAGCTAATTGACAGGGGGACATGCAAGGAGGACGCACCGCGGAACGTCCCATTGGACGCGCCAAGCGACGTGCCAGGGGGCGTGCCATGGGGACGCACCGCGGGACGTGCCAAGGGGATGCGCTGCGGAACGTGCCAATGGACGTGCCATGGGACGCGCCAGGAGACGCGCCGCGCGACGTGCCAGGGGGATTCGCCATGGGACTCGCCACGGAACGTGCCAAGGAACGTACCAGGTTGCAATGCTGAGTGTATCGATCTTGATGTACCGTGCCGAGGGCTGTGCTGTGCTGCGCCATGCTGAACTGCGATGTGCCATTCCGCGATGCTGTTCTATAGTAGTGTTGTGGGTCGAGTCCTCTTTTGCATCCGAGTCCTGACCGAACTGATCTGGATCTTGAGCTCGAGCTGCCTGAGCACATAGTAGCTGCCCCAGAGCGTTGTGGAACCCATGTGTGTTCGCGCTTCCCCCGCCCTGGGGCGTTAGGAACCCATGCGTTTTCACGTGTCTCCCGCCCTGGGGCATGCGGAACCCATGTGTTTTCTCTTTGTCCCGCCCTGGGGCGTTAGAACCCGTGTGTTTTCGGGCTTTCCCCGCCCAGGGCGTTAGGAGCCCATGTGTTTTCACGCTTGTCCCGCCTTGGGGCGTCAGGATCCGATGTGTTTTCACGCTTCTCGAGCCTCCTGGGGCCTCCTGGGAGCTGGAGGGAAGCCAACAGCGTTCCCCGAGTACATATCCCAATACAGAACAGGAGGCCCATGTTGGATACCCCCTAGGTGGCCTGGACACGTTAAAGCACCTGGCTCCGCCTTGTCAAGGGCCTGGACACGTAGAACCACGTGGTTCCAATTCGGGACAGTCATGTCAGATACCCCCCCGGGTGGCCTGGACACATGAAAACACTTGGGACCAGCTTTGGGCAACCATGTAAGATACACCCCTGGGTGGCCTGGACACGTTAAGACACGTGGTCCTTGCTCGGGACCACCATGTTGGATACACCCGGGGTAGCCTGGACACGTTAAAACACGTAGTCCTTGCTCGGGACAATCATGTTAGGTACCCCACTGGGTGGCCTGGACACTGAAAACAAGTGGTTTAATCTCGGGACGACCGAATGAGATATCCCCCTGGGTGGCCTGGACACGTAAAAAACGTCGTTCCAGCTTGGGACAACCATGTTAGATACCCCCCTGGGTTCAGCTCGGGGCAACCATGTTAGATATCCCCCTTATGTGGCCTGGACATGTGAAACACGTGTTTCCAGCTCGGGACAACCATCTCGGGAACACCATGTCAGATACACCCCTGTGGCCTGGACGCGTTAAAAAACACATGGTGCCAGCTCGGGACCACCCACCATGTTAGATTCCCACGTGGGTGGCCTGGACACGTGAAAACACGTGGTTCCAGTTCGGGGCCACCATGTGAAATACCCGCCCTGTGTTGCCTGGACACGCAAAAGCACGTGGTTCCAGCTCGGGACCACCATGTTAGATACCTCCTGGGTGGCCTGGACAGCTGAAAACATATGGTCCCAGCTCGCACGGGATGCACTTTTTCAACCAAAATGTGTCCCGCACCTTGTGATTGATCGATCGGGATTTCAAAGACAAGCGTTTCGCTAGGGACACCCTCAATTTTGTCCACGCCGAATGGGACTTAACCTCGTTATGTTTTGCACATTTGATTTCGCCGGCCGAAATCGAAAGGAAACAATACTAAAAGAGAGCCCTGGGCCCACGCCCTTTGCGGGAAAAATACGTCGCTAAAGCTCGGGACAACCATGTTAGATATCCCCCTGGGTGGCCTGGACATGTAAAACACATGGCTCCAGCTCGGGACAACCATGTTAGATAACCCCCTGTGTGGCCTGGACACGTAAAAACACTTGTTTCCAGCTCGGGACAACCTTGGTAGATATCCCCTTGGGTGACCTGGACATGTGCGAAAGAGCGTGTTCTACCGCTGCTGGCGGAAAACTAGTGGGGGTCACTGGGGGTTCCTAACCCGTCCCCCCTTCCCCCCTCGAAAACCGCGGGGGGTCACTACCGGTTCGAACCCCCTCCCCCCAGTCCATCATGAAAAGGGAGGGGGTTATTACCTGTTCGAACCCCCCCCCCTTCCCCTCGAAAACTGGGGGGGCCACTACCGGTTCGAAGCCCCCCCCCACCCTCAAAAACCGGGGGGGGGTCACTACCGGTTCGAACCCCCCCTCTCCCCTCGCCGCCTGCAAACGATGCCCGCTCTTCGGGACAGATGGAGAATGGTGGGGATGTTGGGACAGTGGTGGGAACGGCGGTGGTGGGGACAGTGGTGCGGGGACAGTGGAACAGTGGTGCGGACAGTGGTGGGGACGGTGGTGGTGGGGACAGCGGTGACAGCGGGACAGTGGTGGGGACAGTGAGACAGTGGTGGGGACGGTAGTGGTGGTGATAGTGGTGAATGCGGTAGTGAGGACAGTGGTGGGACAGTAGTACAGTGGGGAAAGTGGTGGGGACAGTGGGGACAGTGGGACACAGCACAGTGGGACAGCGGCGGGGACAGTGGGACAGTGGGAGCAGTGGGGACAGTGGGACTGTGGTGGGGACCGTGGGGAAAGTGGGGAGAGTGGGGAGAGTGGGATTGTGGTGGGACAGTGGCGGGGAGAGTAGAGACAGTGAGACACTGGTGGGGGCACTGGTGGGGACAGCGGGGACACTGGTGGGGACGGTGAGACAGTGCTGGGGACGGTGGTGGTGGGGACAGTGGTGTGGGGACAGTGGGAATGTGGTGGAAACAGTGAGACAGTGGAGGGTACAGTGGTGGTGGCGACAGTGGTGAGGGCGGTGGCGAGGACGGCGGTGGGACAATGGGACAGAGGTGCAATAGGGACAGTGGTGGGGACAGTGGGGACCGTGGTGGG